GACCTCAACCGTGTGCTGGACGGCCAGCACTCGGACAAGTACGCCGAGTACATCCGCCGCATCCGGGAGGCGGCCGCCCTGCCCGGCCTCACCGTCACCGTCACGACCAACCACAAATACCTCAACATGAACCTCCACTAGGTACGTACGTACGTACAGGCCTGGGCCGATAAATAGATTAGACAGACCATTACTGACTGAGAGTACATACATACATAATGCGGTCTGTGTGGTGTTTGTGCGTCTGTGTGTGATCTGCCTGCCTGCCTGCAGTCGTGCACCTGACCGACCTGCTGGAGTGATTGAGTGAGTTCATCTGTCTGTCTGTCGGTCGGTCGGTCGGTCGGAGGGAGGGAGGAAGGGAGGGAGGGACCGAGGGGCTGCAGGCAGCGGAGAGGTTGCAAGCTTGGGGCGGGCAATGGGTGGATGGTGCCTCTGGCTGGCATGCATATATGTGTAGCTAGGGTGGGTGGTGGTTGCCCTGCCCCTTTTGCAAACAACACGCGTGACTGACTGAGTGAGTGAGTGAGGAAGGTCGATCGATCGACCGCTGTGGATAGCCGAGCCGGCCACCTGGTTGGACGGACGGACACATCTATCTCTGTGCAAACCTCCATGTAATGTTCACGTGTGTGTGTGCGTGTGGCGTGAGCTGTGCGTGTTGGTGGGTTGGAACGCTCATACACAAATACATACGGACGGATCCAGAAAATGACTTCCGTCAGTGCAGTTCTGCATCTCTTTCTCCAACCAGCGATTGATTCCTGGAACCCGGCCACACATATGAATGACACCAGGGCGCCTGCCGGGCGAGTGCACCGCGCACCTGGGTTAGGGTATGTGGGGTCAGGGGTTTTGGGTCAGATCTGAGGGGCTTGAGGCCTCAGGCAGTTGAGCAGAGCGGAGGGGAGGCGTACGTTGATTTGCATCGTCCACCGATATGAGGACGGTGCTGCAGCGGGTCATCCCTGCGGCCTCGACGCCCCGTTCGGTGTGTGTGCGCCACCTGGGCAACGCCGCACGCGGCCCCCCTCTCACGCCATACAACGTACACTCCCAATCAAGACACGACGAAAGAGGCGAAAGAGGCTGTGCTCATCTCGTGTGCCTGTCTGTGTGGGGATGGTACGTGTATGTGCAGGTGCCAGCCCACTTCCAGAATGCGTGTGATCTGTTCGTCAACCCGTCGAGCAGCTACAGCGGTTGGGTGCAGCAGTGCGAGTCGCTCCGGATGTTTGTCTTCTGGGGCGTCGTGGCCGGGGTGACCGTCGACCTCGTCAGCAACCCACCCAAGTCGTCCTACTGGCTGCGCTACTCGCCTCGCAGATGGGGCCCCGCACTCATGGGGATGTTCTCGGGCGGCAGGGGGGAGGGGCTGTTCCTAGAGGGACCGCTGCCCTTCTCGGTGGACGTGGGGCAGCTCTACAAGACAGAGATGAACAAGTGATCAGGCAGAGAGAGAGGGGAGAGAGGGAGGGTGTTGTAGTGAGTCTGGTTTGATTGTGTGTTTTTGTCTGTGCCGTGGCTGCTCGTTCTCGTCGGGTTCTTGAAGGAGGGCACAATCGGGTCCAAACGATTGACGCCCTCCTGTCGAGGTCGGCAGGAAGGACCAGTCTCGGCACAGCACGACTCACAGAGGAACTCAGGAAAGACTGCGTGTCCCATTTGGTTGTCTGTTCGGGTTAGGCAAGAGAGAGGGTGCTGTGTGCAATGTGATATCTTGACTGCGTGTGGCGGCTGTTGCTCAATCGGCGTCCGTCTCTCGCCGGTGGCTCAGACACAAAACGCCCGTTCGCACTGGGCGCCGTGTGGTCTGATCTACAGGCTTGGGACGGTCGCAGATCGAGTTGGGCTGTGACGAGTATTGGTTGGTAGGAAGAAGTGCTCCCCAGTTTGTGCGCGTGTACGTGTTGGTGGACAGACATCAACATTAATGCAGAGATGCGATGTACAAGCATTCGTTCGGGTCAGTCTGTCGCTCAGTCTGCCAGCTCCTCGAAGTGATAGGCCACCCTACCCACAGCCTCCTCTACAGCCACGGCCTCCCTCTCCGCCCGATTCGTCTTCCTCTCGAAATTGTCATTCCTCCGCCTCTCATCCCCACAACCACCATGGCCATGTTGTCTCGATCTTCGCTGACGTTTCATGAGCTGCTGGTAGACGTGCACCAGGCCCTGAGGCGTCACGCCTGAGATCTCCGAGGCTGCTTGGAGGGTGGCTGGGCGGTGGTGGTTGAGCTTCTCGACCTCCTCCGCAGACAGACAGGGGAAAGACTCCCTGACACACACACACACACACACATGCACTGGATGTGCACCTCTGTCTCCGTGTGTTTGGTCTGTTGGCCTCATGGCCTTGTGGTCTCACTACTCACTTTGAGAAGTAGACGTGTGGGGGTATCCTCATCTGGTTGTTCTTGCGCCACGTCTCCATCTCCCTCACCTGCCTGTCCAGGTACGCCCCGTACATGCACTCGGCAGCCACCGTGTCGACCATGAAAGCCGGACTCCTCTCGTAACCCTCCCTCTCGACCTCCCCTCCCTCTCCCTCTCCCTCCTGTTGTTGCTGGTGCTGCTGCGGTTGCTGGTGCTGCTGGTTGTGTGCGATGATGACATCTTCCACCATGGGAAGGGTCACGTTGGGCATGGCCAGCGCCTCCCTCGCTGTCTTGCTCCTCTCCCGGTCGGCGCGGGCAATCGAGAGGGCTGGGCCGCCGTAGGCCATCCAGTCAGTCGAGCTGAGACGGAACGACCTACCAGGCGACAGAAGGCATGGAGAGTTGGTGTGCGGGTGTGCTGTGGTGTTGGTTGGTCACTCGAGTCGTCTGAGCGTCTTATCGAGTAGCCTCTCGCGCAGCTGGAGGGTCTTGAACCGTTCTTCCGACACGACCCCGGCCTCGTAGCCCTTCCTTGTCAGTCTGACACACACACACATACACACAGACAGACAGACAGACACACGCCAAGCAGACAGAGGGATCATCATCACACGTGTGTATCTGTGTGTGTCCCCGGCCTTTCACCTCATGTCAGCATTATCGCTCCTCAGCGCCAGGCGATACTCTGCCCGGGAGGTGAACATCCGGTAGGGCTCCTTCGTCCCTTTGGTGACGAGGTCGTCGACCAACACCCCGATGTAGCCCTCATCACGATCGACAAAGAAGGGCGACTGGCCCAGCGCCGCCCTGCCCCCGTTGATGCCCGCTATGATGCCCTGAGCACCTGCCTCCTCATAGCCTGGACACGCACAGGAATGGTGAGGAATGCATGGTGTGTTGCGTGTTGTACTACTAACTAACCAGTGGTGCCGCAGATTTGGCCCGCGAGGTAGAGTCCCGGGATGGATCTCGTCTCGAGCGTGTGGAACAGGGCGCGCGCATCCACAAAGTCGTACTCGACGTCATACCTGCACGCAATGCATTTATCACATGCATCACAACGCCACACCATCCATGAGTCAGTCATGCGTGGGTGTCTGCCCATCCAGCCGGCCTTACCCGGGCCTGACGATTTCTGCCTCCTCGAGGCCAGGAATCGTCCTCAGATAGTCCGCCTGTACGTGTTCAGGGAAGCACCCCGACAGGCCGTTGGGGTACACCACGTGTGTGTTGAGCCCTTCGGGCTCTAACCACACGATGTGACGGTCACGGTCGGGGAAACGCTCAACCTGCACGCCGCGCACAGGACAGACAGACAGACAGACAGACAGAAACATACATATATTCATCGCTGCTGTGCAGGTCTGTCTGTTTATGTCGACCTTCTTCCAGATGGATGGGCAGTATCTCGGCCCCACCCCTTCCCCATCCCCACTGTCGTAGTCAGGCAGCGTGTCCAAATTCGCAGATATCACCCTTAATGAAGTGAATCAACCCACACGCACACGGTGGACACACATAGATAGGCATAGATAGATACGTTCGTCTGTCGCTGAGCGTCTGTCTATGTGCATCCACCCACCCACCCACCCACACTGACTGAGCACCTACCTGTGAGTGTCTGCGTTGGTGTAGGTCTTGTGGCACTGGATGAAGTGGTCGCTCGGGATGGTGACGCCCCGCTGGCTGATCTGGTTGAGGAAGGAGAAGGGCTCAGGTGGGTCCTCACTCGGCTGCGCCTCCAGCCGCTCCCAATCGATGGTGCGGCCGTCCAGACGGGGAGGGGTGCCTTCGAAGGCATCGCACACATACACGGCCATACAGCACACACACCCAGTGTATTCATTTGGATGCATTTACCTGTCTTGAGCCTGCCCAGCTGGAAACCCATTCTATCGAGCGTTTGCGCCAGGCCCACCGAAGGAGGCTCAACCGCCTCCGAGTCGCGTAAATGACGGCCTGCGCTGTACCTGCACCACACGCAGGAACGATATATCGAGATTGACCTGACGCACACAGGTGTGGTGTGGTGTGACTGCGCGACTGACCCCTGCCTTCCGATCCAGCACTTGCCCCTAAGGAAAGTGCCGGTGGTGACGACCACCCTGCCGCCCTCGATGTCCCTCCCGTCGCCCAGCCGCACCCCACGCACAGCGCCTCCATCCAGCAACACATCCTCTACTGACGCCTCTGCGAACGATCAACAGGAGAGAGAACGGTCCACCCATCCATCCATCCATCCATCCGTCCATCTGTGTGTTGCTGACCAACGATGCGCAGATTGGGGTAAGCCGACAGGGTCGCCTGCATGGCCTCCTTGTAGAGGTCCCTGTCAGCCTGTGCGCGCGGCCCCCTGACGGCCGGCCCCTTGCTGCGGTTGAGCAGCCTGAAGTGGATGCCTGCCCTGTCGATCGTCACACCCATCAGGCCGTCCAGCGCGTCGATCTCCCGCACTAAATGCCCCTTGCCGATGCCGCCGATAGAAGGGTTGCATGACATCTCACCTGAACAACAACAAAACCCACCCACCCACACACAACATACGCACACGGGGTGGACTGAACTTCACCTGCCGCGGCTGGCTTGCTCACCGATGGTGTCGGTCCTCTGTGTGACGAGTACGGTGTCCGCTCCAGTCCGCGCCGCGCCTGCAGCGGCCTCGCAGCCGGCATGGCCGCCGCCAATCACCACCACATCGGCCTTGAGCGGTGCAAGGGAGGAGAGCGGAGGCAGGGATGACACAGACGAGCGATGCCGCGAACGCATCCGGTCATGAAAACCCTGAAAACGATGCAGAGGAAGCCGCAGACAGGGATGAATGCGGTGTCTTTGTCTGCTGTGTAGTCTCGTGTGCGTATCATACCGATGTGAGAAAGGCGTGTTTGTGTTTGCGGCTGACAATAGGCCTCCTGCGGACCATCGGCTGGCATGGCTCGCCGCTGCCGCATCCAGACGACGACGTCAGCAAGGAGGTGAAGAGCGCTCCTTCACTCAACAGCTTCATTCAGCAGACAGTGGCCAGATCTATAGCTCTATGAGGCCTTCCATGCTATCCGTGATCCACAGAAGAGCTGGCGGAATAGCTCGCGGCTCGTCGACAGCCAGCGCAGCGGCACCAGCTCCGCGAGCGCAAAAGGGACGGAAAATGCCAAGCTCGCATTCTGCGATCGCCCGAGGGGGCGAGGATGGATATCTTTCGCGTTTGAGCGTTTTCGACGGACGAGAGGGACATGCTCAATCGCCTCATAAGCCAAAACAACATCAGCTCTGCTTCGTCACCATACTCACCATCAGCGAGTATGGCCGGCGTGAAGTGGTGAGTAGGGAGGCCTCCTGATGGCCAAGCGACACTGCCCGCGTCAAGAGGTGAGAAGAAGGGAACCAAAAACACGGAGGATAAGACGCACGCCGCACCGCGTGAAGCTCTCGTGTGCCTGTGTTCGTTCAGAAGGATGTAGATGGGATGTTAGCCGACGGTGATGACGCTGATGCCTCACAGCAGGGCGGACAGCAGGTGCGCGGATGATGCATTAATGCAGTCACATGTATACAGCTTCTCGGTCTTGTGTGTTGCTTGCTTTGTGCAACAGTCGTCTGCCTCGCTGCCCCTCTGGGTGGTGCCGCCCGATACGCTCTCGACAATCCTCCTGCCCCTGCTCGCCACACAGTGCGTCGTCGGCACACTCTCACTCGTCCGCAAGGCGTTCCACGCCATCGCCGCAGACCCCTCCAACCACCACACCGTCTTCATCCGCAGCCACAAGCCCATCCACCTCACACACACGCAGCTCCGCGTGTGGCCTCCTCGACTCAGTCAGACCAAGCGGGCGGTGCTCATCTGTCCGGTGACGGAGAGCGTCGCGAGTCTGATCGAGGGCATGCGGCGCACCCTGGCGTACCTCCATCTGGACGAGCCGGTGTCACAACTGCAGCGAACGCATAGGCTGCTGTCGATGCGCCAGGTGACGTCGATGTTAGTGTTCTCGGCGCTTGAGGAGGTGCGTGTGGGCGGCGAGTGGGTGCAGGCTGCGCGCCGCAAGAGATGGGCACTCAGGTGAGCGAACACGCTAAGGAACGACTCACACAGCATAGCGGTTCCCATGGTGTGTGTGCGTCGTTTCAGATGGCTGGTGTCGTTGAGCATCCGCGACAGCCCTTTGAGTGGTCGGCGGGCGGACCTCGTGTGGTGGTGGCGGTCACACTCTTCACGCCTCCGGTCGTTTGAGTTCGACGATGGCGGCCGTGGAGGAGGGCATTCCTTGCACGAGCTGCTCGTGACAACCACCTTCGTGCGTGACCTGCGTGCGCTGAAGGTGCTGCGGCTCACCACCAGTGGGTCCTCCTTTCCTGAGGTGGACGACACGGACCTGCTGGCTGAGCACGGCCTCAGACTTGAGGAGATCGACATCGCCATCGTAGGAACCGACCATTCGGACAAGGTGGGGCGCCAACAACCGCAGAAAGGCAGCACTCTGTATTCTTGTCTGTGTGAGTGTGTCCCACAGTTTGTCGAGACGGACCTGTTGCGCAAGTCGTGCCTGGCGCCTGGGGCGATTGAGCGATGGGACCGGAGCGACTTCTGCTTCGACACCCACTTCCTCTTCGGCGGCGAAACGACGTCGGCCGAGGAGCTGTCCAGACGCGCCGACAGCATCAAGCTGCTCGCCTCTGTAGCTACCAAAGTGCATCTGACCGCTTACCTCGGCGATGCTGCACGAGTGCCGTACCCCGCACTCTACGCCATCGTCCCATCGCTCGTATTTTCGCGGGCAGAGCATCTGTGTCTTGACTGCGACTTTCTGCCTGAGATGGTGCTGTCCAATGTCGCCCACATGTTTCCCTGCGTGAGACGGGTGGAGGCGATGGTGGGATATTTTGCTGATGAGTTGAGACAGAGAGTGCTGGGGCAGCTGCCAGCCCTCGAGGCACTCGTCGACAGTGTGTCGGAAAGAGACGAGGACGGCGAGTTTCTGATGCGAGTCGATCAGATAGAAAAGGACAGGCCAATCGTCGAGCGCATTCACCACATCACTGCCCACACGCAGTTGCACTACGAGCAAGGCGACACAAGCGATTTCTTCAGAACTTGTAGAGAGCTGGCCCACTCGTGTGCGCGGGCGGTTCACTTTCTGCCCCGTTTAGAGAGGATCGTTGTTGGCATGAGGGTTGGAGGCGAGGGGTGGGAGGGGCAGGAAGACATAGTGGCCACGCTGCAAGAAAATCGGACGTTCCGTCCTGACACGGACGACTTCACTCAGGTGGCTTTTCACCGCTTGCTTCGTTTCTATGGCTTTGAGATGGTGGAGCTGCCCCGGCTGGCCTTCGACTGTCGTGTGGAGATGCGCCGGCTCGGCCTGTGCATCCCATCACAGAAACGCATCACTGACTACTTCTCTGCCAGACAAAGAGTGAGATAGACAGGGGGAGGGCGGTGGTAGCTGTACAGGCGGTCGGTGGACTTGGGAACGGTTGTGTCTGCGTGTGTGTGGGGAGGTGTTTGTCGATGTGGTCGTCTCCCTACGCTAGGCCTGGCCTGCATACGATGGGGGCCTATTGCTTGGTGACGCACACATCGCTGAACATTTAAATACCCATGCGCAAGACGCCGGCGGAGTGTGTGTGAATATGATAGATAGCCTGACTGAATGGGATGTACGTCAGAGACACAGCTAGCTGTGAATGCCATGGGTGCCTGACCAGTCAATGTGTGCGTGAACATTCAATTCTCACGAATGTTATCATGACAGCAGGTCCTGCCGTCGAACGACCAGTGCAGTAACCCAGAGCAGCGACAGCCACAACACAAATACACACACACACACACACACGCCCATACAAAGAAAGAAAGAGAGAGAGAGAGAGAGAGACGGTCACTGTACTGTCGACCTACCCCGCATAGCATCATCCCCCCATCCCCCTCTCCCGCCACCTTTTTGTGTGCAGACTCTTGCTCGCCAGCAACTCATCCAACAGCTCCTCATCCGCACCAAAACACCACGCCGTGCTCACCAAAGCGGCCGGATATCTCTTGCCGGCCTTTTGTGAGTACAGCAGAGACATCACCTCCCTGTCTGCACGGTTGCCCGCCTTGCGTGGCCGTCGGGCGGGCGAAGTAAAGCCGTCTGATTGCCAGCTTAAGTGTTCCCCTCTGCCTCCAAGAGCCAGTGAGACAGGTAGGTGTGCGTGTCTGGTCGGTCGGGCTGCACAGATGATGAACTTGAAGGTGTGTATACTCAGTCCGTGTGTGATGACTGACAAATAGTCTCTCTCCTCGGAATGCCGATATCAACCCACGCCTTCACCAACTGAAGAAAGCTCAGTCACCCACTAACTCCCGGCGCCCGCTCGCCCACTCACTCGCTTACACAGACCCCCCACTGAGTCTCTTCCTCTTTTCTTCCGTCAATCCCCCGTCTGCAGCGCAGCCATTGGCTCCGACGCACTTGACAGCGTCCAGCAAATCGGAGGCCATCGATTTCGCCTTCAGCCGCAGCGTGCCATCACTCGACTGCTGATGGAGGCGAAACTCCACCTCATTGATGTCAACAGATATCAACACGCTGTCCGACAAATGGTCAACCTGCAATCACGAGAGACATCTTTTGATCAATCGCCTGTTCCTTTTGTTGATTGAGGTTGACGCACCACCGAGTTGAGGGGCGCAAAGTTTGTCTTCCCATATGCCTCCCTCCGCTCATAGAAATGCTGTATCCTTCGCATCATTCCTCCAGCCCACAGAGAGGCGTTGACGGCCACACCGGGCGGACAGCTTAAGAACAGAGAACAGAACTGTTTGGCCGCCGTTGTGTAGCCTCTGCAAGGACAGGACCGGAGTAAGCGGATGAAGAAAGGCTCTTTTCATGTGTGCCTTTCCGTGCTTACTCTGGCCAAAATTGCAGAGAGACATCCGGGATGCCCGCGATGTGAAAAGAGGGCGACACCAGGGGCTCGCCGCGGCACACGGATAATCTTTCTGAGAGGTTGTTGATGCGCCACTCTGCCTGCATGGACGCACATGAGACATGGATGGACAAACAATGGAGGGAGGGTCCGTGGACGTGTCTCACCTTCTTGACATGTTTGTCTTCCCACCTCCTCAGCTCCTTTTGCAGGTTGTGGCTGATCTGCTGGTCCGTGACGCACTCGACCTCCAGCCCACCACAACACACAGCCTCCTCCCTCTCTCTCTCGCTGTCGGCAGTCGATGGATCAGACAGGGGCAGCGGGGCGGCAGGCCCATCGAGAGACGACGTGCTGCTGACGTCCAGGATCTCAACAGTGACGTACATGCCCCTCAATAAGTGGCCGAATACCCCTCTCAGCTCCTCTTTCCCTTTCCCATTCTCAGAGGTAACCAGCAGCTTCTCAGCCGCGGCCTTCTGGAACCGTTGCATTGGTGGAAAGTCCCAGAGGCTGTCGCCCCCCGCCCGCCCTCGGTGTCTTAGCTGCGGCCCGTGCAATTCGGTCCATGTGGCACTGTCGAAGGGCCACCCATGTCCGCCCTCACCCTCATCAGCACACGGCACGAACGCCCGCTCTTCTTGCTGCGGCGGGGGCAGGCATGTGATTGACCGGGAGTGGAGTGCGGCTGTGGCGGCCGCCCGCTGCATGTTGGCGTCTGGGTGTAAGTGAAAGCGGCTGGCGAAGGTGTGGGTGACGGGTGGAGAGGACGCGATGCTGCCCATTGCGCTTGCGGCGAGGTCTGGGTTATCGGGGGCTTGTGAGCCGAGACCGATGCGGAAGTGGACGTGGATGCCTGCAGGGGCCCACAGGTAGATGGATATCTCACCGGCCGCCCCGGCTATGCTGCCCTTTGACGGTCTCCCCTTTGTCGACGACCTGTGGGCAGGAGACGGGAGAAGTAAAACTCGGACTGAGCCTTTCCCCTCCCTCCCTCACCCACCCCTGCGACTGAGCCTTGCTGGTGCGGAGGCTGGTGCTTTTGGCGACACCCGCCTGCAGTGGGGCCGGCGGCACAGCTAGCACAACCACAGGCTGAGACACATCTGCTCTCTGGTTTGGGTCTGCAGCAACGGCAGCAGTAGATGTGCCGGCGTCGGCATTTGCATCCGTACGAGGAGCATCCTCTATCGATGGCTGCATTGCCGGCGGCTCCTCACTCTTGGCTGGTCTGGGCGTGATGGCCATCTGCAGCTGCAGATACGGAATCTGCACACATGGACAAGATATGGAAGAGAAGACAGGTATGATTGAAATGACATCCATCCATCCACCCGTCCGTGCAGTCTACCCCTGCAGCCGCGAAGGACGGCGAAAAAAGAACAAGGGGAAGCTCTGTGGTCTCAGTAAGGTTCGTGGGCAGCCTCCACAAGACTTTGCGAACAGACATCGACTCGCACGTGTCAATTCGCAATATGTTATCTTCCAGGATGGCGGTAAAGCGTGTAGCCGTCGCATAATGCGCCGCAGCGAGCCTGTGCAGGTGTTGCGCCATGTCGTCACGGATACTCGCAGAGCTCTGCTCCATCTGGGAGTGCAGCACCCTCTCCGTCTCCCTCAGCTTGGCCGTCTGGCTCCTGATCTCATGTATCGACTCCTTCTTGTGTGTCTCGAGCTCGCCCCTGATCTGCGTCTGGATGTTGCTGAGCTCGTCGCCCTTTGAGTCGAGATCGTCGCGGATGGCCGATGTGGCTGATTTGAGTGCTGTCTCGAGGTTGTTGGCCGTCGAGGTGAGAGCCCTCTGCAGTCCGCCCACTTTGGACCTGTCAAGATCGTCGATGCGGGAGATGAGGTCGGTCTCCAGCTCGTCGATCCGCTCTGTGACCTCCTTTAATCGCTCATCCGTATGGGTCTCGAGGGATGACACACGATCATTGACGGCCTGCACTCATTCATTCATTCACACAATCCACAGACACAAATCGACGAGGGTTGACATGAGGGAAAGATAGTGAGTGAGCCTTGCTCAGCCACCTTCGATTCGTTGGAAATGCGGTCATTTTGGTCCGTCTGATGCGCGGTGATGAAATGCACAACAAATGACCAGTGCATTGCAAGCACTTTCCTCAGTACCCACCCACCACTTTGCCCGACAGTGACTGGAGCTGCTGCATGAGGGTCTCAGCCATGGCTGCACTCGCCTGGTTTTGCTTCTCCAGAGCCTCCACATGTGCTGTCAGATCCTCCACTGACTTCTCCAGCACTGAACAGAAGAGAGGCCAAAACACACTAAAATGGTGGTCCCCTCACCGTGTTCTGTGCATGTTTGCATCCCCTCACCGTTGTTCCTGCTCTGAAGCTCTTCGATTTGGTCGAGAGCCGCCGTGAGCTTGGGGTTTGGCTCTGTGGGGGGGCTCCTCGGGTCAGGATCAGGGGCAACAGAACGCCTGCTCTTCATCTCTCGAGTCTCCGGTGCGTGAGAACACTTCTACGTGGGACGAAGGGCCTTTCCTCCGCCTCTCTCTCCCTTTGGTACCGATGAGAAGCTCGCAAGTGCAGAGGGACACCAATCATGCATGAATGACAGGTATGAAGCATCTGCGTAGACATTTTCACATTTGCCATCTTCCATAATGATTCCACCCCTCTGTTGTGTTGTGGTGTGTGCACAGGTGTTTGTGTGATGGATCCATAGCACACACTCCACTCGCAATGTGGGACCTCTTCTGGGCCGTGGTGACTATGAACTTTGTCGGCGGGATCTGCTACGCGTTCTTCGAGGCGCTGATCTCTGTCATGCTCACCGGTACGCAGACAGACAACGGACACACAGGATATACAGCATATCACACCAAGGCAGCATGATTGTCCGTTTTCCTCTGTGCAGGCTGCGGCATTGCGCCTTCTGAGGTGGCTGGCTGAGGCAAATGCAGACCCTCGTTTGCATGGCGCGTTTGTGTTCAGACGGGGTTGATTCTCTTTGCTGCGACGGTGACGGGCGTATTTAGCCAGCCATACGCCTGCTACTTTGCAGATACCAAGTCAGTCTATCGTACATTTAAAGAAGGCCCAGGCCACGCACATCCATCCATCCATCCTTCCCTGTGTGTGGTGTGTGGTGTTGTCAGGTCGGTCAACAAGCTGTTGAGATACTCCTTTCTCGTCAAGCACATCCCGGTGATCATGCTGGTGTTCCTCGTGTGGGACTGCGCCAAGATTGCCTACGAAGCCAAGCTGATCCTCTTCATGGTCTGCCTCGGCGCCTTCTTCATCATGGCCTTCCAGCCGCCCATTCTCGACAATGCCGTCATCGAAAAGTACAAGGGCCGCTTCGGCCAGACACGGCTGATGATATCTGTGGGACGACTGGTAGGCGGGCGCAACGCAATCGAGGCCGCGTGAGTCTCTCTCTCTCTATGGGTGCGTGTGTGTGTATGTGCATTGCAATTAGGTGGGTGGAGTGGCGAGCGCCCCCATCCTACAGATCTACGGCATGGTGGGCTGCCTCCTCTGCCGCCTGGTCATGTGCACAGTCATCTTCATTCTCTCATGCACTTTCTACGTCGAGAAGACACGCATGCGGCTCGCCTTGGCGGGCAGGCCGGGCTCTCTGGCCGTCACCCAGTCCACAGCTCCCGGCATCCCGGAGGCAGAACAGGCCATCGAGCACTCTCGCCGTCTGTCGCTGGAGAACGTCCACCGTCGATTCTCGGCTTTTATGGAGCGCATCAGTGGGCTGCTGACGGTGCCGTTCCTGACGTTTCTCGCCGTTATGACGGTCAATGGGATGGCGGGGGCCGTCTTCGACGCCTACGTGAACGTGCTGCTGATCGATGTTTTTGACGTGCCGCAGTACATGCTAGGGTGAGGGGGAGATGAGAAGGGGGGAGGCGGCAGTTGGTGTATCTATCGCCCTCTGTGTGTGCAGGTATGCGACCACAGCAGCGGCGGTTGGCAACTTCCCGGCCTTTTTCTTTGCCGACATCGGCCTGGAGCTGCTGGGAAGTCGTGGTTTGGTTCTGGTGGGGATGGCGGCCACCGCGATGCGCTGTCTGTGCATCTGGGCCGCTGTCCATCCCCTTCTCGTCGTCACCACCAATGCGCTCCACGGCGCCGCTTTCGGCCTCCTCACTGTCGGCGCCGTTGCGTACGCAAAAGAGTCAGCACCATATGGCATGAAGAACACTGCACAGGTACGCTCCTGCACACACCACACCCGCAATGCGACCAAATCAGTGAATGGCACGTGTGTGTCTGTCTGTCAGGGGTTGATTGCGACGGCCATGCAGGGTCTGGGCACGTCCTTTGGCGTGTTGCTGGGGGGCTTCATCTACAATGCAGCGGGCGGGCGGATGCTGTTCCTCATCAAGGCCATCATCGTCTCGGTGGCTGCAGCGGCGTTCGCCTTCGTCGACACGCTCGATCCTGAGCTCGCCGCAATCAGCCGACTGACCTCGCCACCCAGAAGGTACCTCATTCTCCCGTGCCCAGCACACAGGACAACAAGCGCACCACACGCACTGCCCACCCTCCCTCCCTCCCTGTGTGTGGCATGCAGTCCTTTGCACGCTGAGACCAAGGCGCATGCCGAGGCGGCCGCCTGCTTTCCACCGATGTCACAGAGCGAGCTGGCGGTCATCTTAGACAATACGGGCGAGGAATCGGGCACCGACACATCCGGTGAGGACCAGACTGTTGGCCCTTCCACGCTGCCGGCAGCCAGCGATGGTCGAGTGGAGAGGGACATGCTGGAGGGCACAAGGACGGAGCCCCTTTTGGGGTTGGATCAGTCACTTTAGTAGCCATGGGGGCGGCTAGCTGACGGACGCGTGAACCAGAGAGAGACATCGGTGGATGGATGGATGGTGTGTAGCTGGGAAGACAAGACAAGACAGTGTGCGCGTCGCGTCCGCCTCCTGTATAGGTCGTTTGTTTCATTGTGCGTATGTGCCTGTGTGTGTGTGTGTGGGTGTGGGTGTGTGTCGGTGAGTATATATGTTACATAGGCAGCAGGTGCATTGGCCTGTCTGCCCATTTATTTGTGTCAGCGAAAACAGCTATTTGTAGAGACGGACAGGCAGACAGGCAGACAGGCGGGCGGGCGGCGAGTCGGTCCGTTTTTGGCGGTTAGGTTTTTGTCGCCGTTGATGGCTAGGCAGGAAAGTCAATGAAGGTGTGGCGCAAGCATCCAGGGATGCAACTGCGGAGAATGAGTGTGTGGATGAGTGTGTGCGTGCGTGCGAACGACACACACACCCACCAGGCTGGTCGAGAGGAGCCGTGTACGACTATTAGTGAGAGCTCAATAATCACTTAAAATAATCAGGGCAATCAGCTGGAGAGATCCACACACTCTTGCTGACAAACGGCGAAAATGAGGCTGTAGTTGATTTGTCTTCTCTGATCAAACACTACTCGAGTGCGGGGACTCGAGAGTGATTGAACGACTAGATGTCAGACGTGAAGGTTTTCTGTGCAGTATGAAGGTACGTGACGTCACGGTGGGATGCTTCCTGCCTCGCCGAGTGCAAACCACATAATTCATTGCCAGAGTACCTGTCGTCCTATCCACACGATCACGACACAGAGAACACACGGACAAGAGTCGATGGACAACCATAGCCACAAGTTGCGGCAACTTTGACATCTCATCACCCCACAACCCACCCCTAACTAAATGCGCTCATCCTGCTGCCCCGCCAGCAGATGGCATGTCAGCCACAAATATGGGCATCTTGCTGACAAACGAGCCAACATACATCCGATCGTTGTGCTCAAAAGCCTCGGTCGTCAGCCTCACCCGACCTGAAGGAAGCAAAGACACACACACACAGACACACACAGACGAGTGCATCGAGGAAAGACGCGTCGATTCCATGTGGTGTGGTGTGGTAGGTGCGTGCACACTTGATGGGTCTGTGACGAGCCTCAGGACCTTCCCTGTCTCATCGATCTCCATCGCCCAGCCGCCCCCTCCACCCACAAGTGTGTCCAGGGTCAACAGCACAAGCAGCCTATATGGCAAGCCAGCCATCAACTGACAATGAGAAACCACACACACCGTGACTGTGACTGCGGTCTTGGCGTCCATCCCCGCTGGCCTGCCTACCTTTCTGATCCACGGGTAGAGTCTCGACACGACTATGGCCATGGCAGTGGGGGTGGGCCCGCCGACCCAGTAGGTGCCCCTAGGCGACCGGCGGATGTTATCCAAAACGGTCGGATAGTTCTTCCCAAACACTTCCAGCTTACCTGACACACATACACATACACACACACACAGAGAGAGAGAGAGAGAAAGGGAGAGAGAGTTAGTGGATGCCACTGCCCACAGCCCCTCCCTGCTGTGTGTGTGTGGGTGTGTGGACGTCTGTCTGGCACCCTTGTTGCTTCCGGTGAGGTGGTACTTCCAAATGAGTGCGCGTGTGCACGAGTTGATGAGCAGGTGGGTCTCGTCAAACGACACCACCATGCCGTTGGGGAAGGGCAGGTCCTTGTGCAGCACGCGGGTCTCCTTCGTGCTTCATGCACACACAACAAACAAACCACCAACAGAACACACATCAGACCGATGGCTGCCTGCTCGTTATCAGGCTCACCCACCTTGGGGCATACGACATGAGGGCGCCCGTCGCTCCGCTCTCGATGAGCTCGAGGAACAAGCGGTTGATCCTGAACTTGGCACTGCTGTCGGTGAAGTAGACGAGGCCATCCGGCCCCTCGACAGGCGTGTTGCAGAAGACCACCTTCCGCCCGTCAGGTGCCGACTCGTCCGTCAGGATGCGGCCCTGTGCCGGCCCCCTGCTGCCGCTGCCCTCCGGCCACTCGAATATCCTGACAAACATGCAGACACACGTGAGATGCGCGTCACGCACAAATGCGCGTGTGGTTGCTCGCACACACATGAGTCCATAGTAAGCGTCGCACACGAGGAGGTTGCCCTGCTTGTCGAAGGCGAGGCCCAGCGGGCGGCCGCAGAAGGGCTCGTTGTCGATGTCCGCCTTAGAGCACATCTCCTCGCTGCCGTCTGCACACACACACGCAGGGAGGGAAGCGATATGACTGCTATCGGTCTGTGTCTGTGTCTGTGTCTGTGTTTGTGTGTGTTTGCTGACCACCCAGGTGTCTGTGAGGTGCCGTGAAGGCCACGTGCTCCCATGTGTCGTCATCCACCAGACGGATGATCCTCCCTAAGGCACAGACATCCATCCATCCATCCACCAAACCATTGCAGTGTTTCCGTCAGGTCCGCAGCGCCCACCTTCTGAGGTGCCTGTGTAGACAAAGCCGTTCTTGTCAGCTGCAAAGGCCTCCCCACCCTGCGCACCCACACAGACACACACATGCAAAAGCGGTCCTTTGTCGTTTTGCAGACAGAGATATCTGCGTGTTGCTTGTTGCCTGCCTGGCCACCTACCCCAGTGATGTCTGTGTAGAGCGCCTTGGATGCATTCAGGAAGGTCTGGATGGGAAAGGCCCCGGTGGGCATGGGCGCCACGTCATGTGACGGCACAACCACGGGGTCGAGAGGGGACGACACGATGACGTAGCCGCATATCGCTGATGAAGCACACACAGAAGCAAGCACACGGCAGGCACAGCGAAATGCACTGAATGCGTTTGATTGATTGATGCGACGGGCTCGTCTTCGTGGCCATTGCATACGTACCTGAGAGGACGGCCACAGCGACAGTCCACGGACGAAGCAAAGCCATCTTTCTCCTCGTCAATGAGTGCCTGCAGATCGGACTGACAACCGACCGTCAGCAGTGTAGATCTCCATTCTACAATGCGGCTGCCTGCCTCTGCCTCAGGCCTCTCCCTCCATTATGCTCGCAGCCCGGTTTCCGAGCTCGCGCTGCCGCGGCTGAAACCGCTGCCCATGGCTTCGTCGGTTCGTCGTCATTCGTCTACGATGTCCTCCTCTTCGCGTAGCGCCAACACGACCAAGTGGCCTCGCCAGTGGCGTGCCCATCAGCCGCTGATCACGATGCTCTGCGGCAATCCGGTCGCGCTTCCCGCACTCGACGGCATCACCGGCACGGCAGATCAGTGGGAGCGCGTCAGCCAAGGCGTCACCATTTCGCACAACGGCCAGCAGAAGCCCCTCATGCAAGGCGGCAAGATGCTCCACCCTCCGTCGATGTGGAGCTACACGGAGGCCCACCCCTTCAGGATGCCGCCTGTCGGCAAGCCTCTCGGCTGCTACTACACGAAGATCAGCATGAAGAAGGGCAAGGAGGACCCGCCAGTGGGTATCGACGAGCCGGGCTCGGTGGATAAGCCCGGCTACACACTCTCGGAGCACCACTACTGCTGCTGGGCTGGCTCGAGGAGACCAAGAACCTCACGACCGTCATCAACTGGACGACAGGCGACATCGGCTCGGGGACGGACGACCAGGGCCGCTTCGACTTCCGTGAGCCCAAGCATCACCCCTCCTGGCCTTCCTACCTGATGGTCAAGGATCTGACGGCCGACGACGATCCCGAGCATCTTTCTTTGAACGGCGCCGTGTATGGCCGACTGGAGTCGCCCACGGAGTGCCACAATCCCCACCACAGCCGGCTGGTCCTGCTGACGAGCCAGGACCTGAAGTGGGGCGACCAGGACAGCGACGACTTCGTGGCCATCGACCTCGGGTACTCCGAAGGCGAGGGCGTGGAGGCATGGGTCAAGATCTTCACCACCGAGTCGCGCCCCTGCGACAAGACCGCCGTGGCCGTCAAGAACGTGCTGGGGGCCGTGCTGGGCAAGCAGGTGTGGGGGGCCGAGTGAGGGAGAGGGGGTGCGGTCGGTAGCTACAGGCAGCAGCATGGTGCTGTTTTCTGACTCATTCTGTAGCTTTCCTTTCCCTCCCTCCCCATAGTCAGCTGCAGCATCTATAGTATGCACAAATGTGTGTGTGTGTGTGTGTGTGCTTGAATGGCATGAATAGCTTCGTAGGACACTGTTCGGGTGTGTGGGTGGGCATGCCGAGGGGATGGAGTGTGTTGTCTTGTTTTCTGATTTACTCTGTATGCACGCTCTCGCTCTCTCGGACATTTTGCTCTCGTTTTCCCTCTTACTGCTGCTGCTGCGGTGCTTTTTCCTGCTGCGCCGTTGAGAATTAGGCCCTTCTCTCCTCTCCCTGCCTCTCTTCCTTTCTGAACGACACATGGGTGTGCGAAGGATGAGGGATATAAGCGGCAGGTGTGTGAGGATCTGACGGCTGGTGCAGACAGCGCGACGCACGTCATTAGATCCATCCACCTGGCTGCCGCCTACGCTGGTCTTCGTGAGACGGGCTCGACTGTCTGTCTGTCTGTATGGGTGCTTGCTATGTGTTTGGTGTGAGCGCCGTGGGTGAGTGGGGAGTCTCTGTGTACATGCTGCGGAAAGACAGACGTGTGCATCCTGGTGTTTGTAGGTATGGCCAGCGAGTGAGTGGACTGTGGGTTTAGAGAGATGGGCAGCTGGCGTGTGTGTGAGGGTTTGACGACATGCCGCTGGTGGCCGCATGGCACCTCTCTGCATGAGAGCGGGTCTCCGTCTGCTGCGGTGGCGTGACGGTGGCCGCCTGCTTGTCTGATGAGTCCCGCTCGTGACTTGACTAGATAGATACCTTTCTTGTCTGTAGATCAGGGGGTGCCAAGTGGCGGTCACGGTGACCGCTGAAACGTCGAATGGGGTTCAGGTTTTGCCGATTTGCCTTACCCCAGCGCTCCCTCAACGGGCTGCCTGCCTGCCTGCCTGAGTGATGCCTCTCTCTGTGCATGGTTGGACACTGTGATGTTTATATGGATGGCTAGACGCATTCATGAATTGAGACACACCACACACGAAGCGCGACGACCAGAGCGGTCATGTCTCAACGAACGAATGGCATGGCCATTACGGATGAATCCAACATGAAAACGACAACCAAAAAGGTCTGGTGATTCATTCACTCACCCACTCACTTCACTGACTGACTGCATTGCATGCCACACGCTTGACCAAAAAACGACGGACAGACCGTACCATACAAAGCGAACACGCACTGCCAAATACACGCAATATGTGAAGCATGGAAGCCTATGTACCTCCCTCCCGGCTGCCCATCATCGCCCCTCCCGTGGTCCACCACACACTGGCATCCCCTCTCAGCTCATCTCATGTCATCTCATCTCATCTCACGTCATGCATCTCGTTTGGTGACTCGGAGGGCGAGGTTGGCCGGTGCCACGGTGAGTGACAGCAGCGGCATCACACGGTCTTTGCCGTCAAGGCTCACCGAGAAGGATCGCAGCAGAGACGAGATGATGACCTGGGCCTCTTGCCTGACACACACACAATTAAGCACACAACGGACACAACACTGGCTGCATGACATCGACATCCATCCGCTTTTTGCCTGTCTGCCCGGTCTCAGTTCAGCTGACATGGCGAATTTCTGTCCGATGCAGTTCCTGGGTCCCGCGCTGAATGGGAGGAATGCATCTGAGTGCGCCATTGGCTGCGACGTGCCCTCAGTGCCCTCCATCCACCGCTCCGGCCGGAAGACCGAGGGCGCCGGCCAGTAGCGAGCGTCGTTCTGCACTGCCATGAAGTTCAGCCACACAATCGTACCTGAAGGAGACGTAGATAGACGCACACGGCGGTCGACGTGGGCACAGATGGTGTGGGGTGCGTCCAGGCATACATACCTTTGGGCAGAGTGATGCCGTTGACTGTGAGCGGCTCCTTCAGGAGGCGGTCGACAAACGGGACGATCGGCCGCACTCTGCAATTATGTATGCAATGAATGCCACACAGGGAGAGGAAGGGACCACCACTGGTCGATGGCTGGCACCAATCTCACTGTGTGTGTGGCGGACTGACTGACCTCATGACCTCCTTGAGGACGCATCTGAGGTATTCCAGTTTGGGGAGCTCGTCGAACGTGATGGGCCGCCCACCCAAATCATCAATCTCACTCTGCACCTTACCCTACACACACACACACACACACAGACGCATGGAGCCTGTCCCAGCCCCCCATTAATGATGTGACTTACCTGCACGTCTGGGTGTTTGGATAGGAAGTAAAGCGTCCAGGAAACCAAGTTGCTCGTCGTTTCGTGACCTACACAGCAACCACATATATTGTGGTTTGGTTGATGCTCTCCCTCGTCCCTCCTTTCACCCTCTGTGTGATGTTGGTCTTGTGTGTGCCCCTCCCCCGCTCCCCTCCCCCCGCCCCACCGACCTGCGACAAGGAAGGTGAGTGCCTCGTCGACGATTTGTTTGTCGGGCATGTTGCCGACCGCCAGGAGCTCGTCCAGCAGGTCCTTGGCCTCCTCACCGCGCACGTCCACCGACCCAGCGGCGCGACGACGGGCTATCTCGTTGATGATCCGACGACGCATACGCCTGACGGATGGCGCACACACACACGCATGTATCCCTCCTCCCTCTGTCGGTGTCTCCATGTGTGTGTGTGTGTGTGTGTTTACTTGACGAGGATCTGGACGCCCAGGCCTGACGGCAGGGGCACGTACATCCACGCGTGGCCGAGGAGGTGTCTGCCCATCCAGAACATCGGGTAGCCGTTGACCTTCTCCCACGCCCAAACGAGCCAGTCGACGTCGAACTCACACCGGGCGAAGGCCGCGTCGCACATGACGCGAAGCGTCAGGGCACTGACAGAGAGAGCATCACGCCACGCCGGTCCCAGTGTCTCGTTCGTGATCTCTGTCTCTGTCTTTTAACCTGATGTCGTGTTTGCCGATGGTTGTGCCGTCGGTGCTCTTGGCCGCCTTGTCCTGCAGCTGCTGCACCAGCCTGTCGGCATTCCTGGTCATGAACTTGTGCACCGCCTTCAAAGTGCTGAAGTGAAACAGGGGCGTGAGCAGCTTCCTTTGCCGCTGCCACAGCGCACCGCTCGACGTCACCAGCCTGCATGGCATGGGCGGCACAAATGACACAGATGACTGACACAAACAGACAGACACCCCTGTGTGTGCTCATTCGCTTACCCATGTCCCACCATCTCCACGAGTGTTTCGTAGAATGGCGACTTTGGGTACTTGTCGGGGTCTGCGAGCACCTCAGCAATGGCGGCCGGCTGGTTGACGCCCACCACTCGGCGGCCCTCGAAGTCAGGGCCGACGTCCACCACCTGACATGGACACACATGACACGCACAGAGAACAGACAGACAGACAGACAGACAGACATGGAAGGGCGTATCAATGAATGCAGCGAATGCCGGGAGTGTCGACGTCCATATCTCCTTGTGTGTACCGTACCTCCAGGAACTGGTCTGGATGCTCGGGATCCCTGGCACAGACAGACAGACAGACACTCATTCACTCACTCACTCATTCATCCCTTCCCCGTCTGCCTTCTCCCACTCTCACCGCCAGTCCTCGAGCAGTCCATCGAGGCCTTTATCCTTCCCCTCGCGCGCCGCAAACGCCCGCACGAACGGCATGACGCCCTTCCTGGGCGCCAGGTCTTTGTACTCTCTGTTGCGCATCAAGTAGCGGGTGACGGAGCAGACGCACTGGCCGACCACACATGCCGACACACTGCCGGCGCCGATGACCACGGCGCACTTTGCTGTCGTCCAGAGAATGTCGCCGGCCGTGTCCGTCTTAAGCGAGAAGTCCATCGTCGTGAATCAATCGACGAGTGGAGAGAGGGGCAGAGAGAGAGGGCCCGTTCACTCCGTGTACAGTGTACAACCGGTTCTCTCGCGGAAGACTCAAAGGCAAAGGGTTTAGGGTTTAGGGCTTAGGGTTTAGAACCCTTTGACCTCAAACCCTGAGGGGAGCGCGCGTGACAGCTTCCCCAGGCTGACGGTATATCTTCCACACCCCCTGTGCTGTAGTGATCAGTTGTTGTTTCGCTCGTGCACATCCGAGACCCTTCGTTGACACTATCGACACGCCTCGACGAACCACTCCACTTCGAGCACGCCTAGTGTGCAACAGAGCTCTACCAGCGCAGCAGAGAGTCCACAACGAGCCACTGCTCTCTGTGAAAATCTGTGAAGACCACTAGCCCGTTGCAGCGTGTGTCAGCGGTGTCGACGGCATGCGGCTGACGTGAGCTCCCTTCTTCGGTCCATCTATTCATCTACTCCAGCCATGGCTGATCCGACGGAGCGCCCCCCGCCCCTCCCACCAACCACCCTCGCCCAACCCAAAGTCAAGCATGCCCAGGCGAGACCTTCCCCACCCCCTTTCCCGCCCCTGGCCTCGAGAAGCGGCCTTGCAGGCGTGCATGCAGCTGGTTCACACCCATCGGCTGGCGCGGCCGCAGATAGAATGGACGAGCTGCTTCCTCCCTCACCCCCACCCCCTCCCCAATTCCCTGGCGGCACCCGTACCAAGGCACGGCCGGCCGGTGGGGCGGATCAGCAGCTACTTGACATGATGGCTGTCGAGGAGATCGATCGGCAGGGTCCGCCTTTGCTACGGGGTGGTTCCCTGCCGCGACGAGGGAGTGTTCTTTGCGACGAGGAAGATGCTCTCATGGTGGCTGGCACACAGAGGGAGAGGGGGAGGGGGAGGGGCAGGGGCAGGGGGAGAGAGATGGCCCTGTCGAGGAGCCCTCCCTTATCGCAGCAGCACCCTGCCAGCTTTGACGAGTGTCTTGATGGCGGCCGTGGCCAGGGTGAAGGAGCCAACCTTGACGTGACGATGAAGGACGCCACAAGCAACATGCGCAGAAAGGCGGCTGCGGCTCGCGAGAATGGCAAATCGGCACGTGTCCGGAACCGCGCAGGCCCCATCTCACAACCACAGCGGCAACAGCAGCAGCAGCAGCAGCAGCAGCAGCGACCGATCGTCAATGGCACCGCCAGCCATATCAACGAAAGGGGGTTTCAGCCAGATGAGCGTCCATCCAGTGCAGCAGATCGACATGACCTCCCCGCTGCTGCTGCTGCCGCCGCCGCTGGTGCCCGTGCGAGCGGACAGAATGGCGTGTCTACTGGTGCTCTGCAGCTGCAGCTCGCTGAGTCGGCGAATGGGGGCCGTGCTGCGGGCAACAATCAAAGCATTCGCTACCTACCCATATACACCCACCCACCCATTGCAATCAACGAGGCTGGAAAGGCCCCCGCTCTAGCGGGGGCCGGTGGCCATATGTCTAGGGGCAGGGGCGGCTCGGCTGCTGGTCCTGCGGCCGCATCCATGCAGGCAGGCCCGCCGCGTGCTGCAGAGGCGTCGGATGCAGATGTAAGCATTGCAGTTGCATTGCAGGCACTGCACTGTGTTTGTCCAATGTGCCTGTATGTCTGTTTGGGTGGGTGCTCCGTTCAGGTTCGTCAGGCCCAGGTGATGGCCAAGGCCCGTGCGCAGCTGCAGGCAGTCCTGAGCACAGCGGTCGACGCGATCGTGCAGGAGCAGTTCAAAACCACGCCTCTCGGGGACACGTTCACGAACGGCCCATCAGGTGTGTATGCAGCAAGCCACGCACATCTATATCATTGCCTTCTCTCTCTGTCTGTATATGTGTGTGTGTGTGTGTGTGTGGTGGTGGTGGGGGGTTGCAGCAGGCGATGCTGCTCAAGCCCAGCTGGTCCTGGACCTGTCGGCGGCTGCTGCCGCTGCCGTCCCGTCGTCCTCTGCATCAGCGTCAGCGTCAGCAGGAGCAGGCCGTGGCGGTCCTGCGGCATCAGCGGCAGCGGACGCCCTTATGCAGCTGATGCCCTTGACCTCTGCTGTCGACTCTCCTCCTGAGATGGTTTCCCCAGGCACCGTCCGCGCCTTCAACATGCGGTGGCTGAACAAGGACTACATGGTCGTCAAGGATAAAGTGTTCGGTGAGTGAGCACAGCACAGCACACCCATCACACAGACCCATCACACACATCCGATCGATCGCTGCATTGCATTCAGGCGGTTATGCGCCGATGGGTGATGCCTTCGAGCGCGCATCGAGTCATGAAGGCCTCGACCCCCAGGCAGTCCTCCCCCACCGCCTGATGCTCGACTTCCTTGCACACCCCCCACCCTGGACGACGGAGCGCACTCGCCTTCTCGGCCTGCGGTTTGTGGTGTGGTTTGGGGGGGCGTGGCGGGTGCTGATGGACGAGGTGCCGGGCCAGGCGGAGATCTTCGCGCCGGCATCCATGACGCCCCCGGCCGTGCGGTGGACGCTCGAGCAGGCACTCAAGCGGCGAGATGCTCGTTGTGCGTCAAGAGGGGTGCCGCCCTCGGGTGTGTTCAAAGCGTTCTCGTTCATTGAACAGGCTGGTGAGAAGAGGAGACAGAGAGAGAGAGCAGAAAATGATACATGGGTTGGGCTCGGGTGTCACCTCTGTCTGTGTGTGTTGTGTCAGCGTTGAGGCCTTCCCTGGAGCATCATCTGTTCGACGCCCACGACACTCTCTGCCTGGCCCAGGCGCTGTACAGCTCGAGTTCCCCCGCCACGACCAAGTACATCACATTCGACCCCATCTTGAGGGAGTACAGGTGCGTCCTTCCCCCAGGCGTCTCCATGATTGCACCCCATCTGCTGTCGCACCCTGCCCGCCGCGAGCCAATCCATGACCCCACCACGCTGCGGCACATCCAAGCGGCCCTGGCGTCCTTGGTCACCTGGCGCGACACAATGGTCGATGGACTTGCACGAGCCGCCCCTCTACCCACTGGGCCGAGCCGTGTTCCCAGCGCCGCCCCCCTTCAGCAGCTGATCCCCCGTCCTCTTCCGCCCCAGCAGCAGAATCACCACCGTGGTGGGCCCCCACCGCCATCCTCGCGACGCCCTGGCCCCAACACACATCCCTCACACATCCCTCTGGCCAGCGTGCCGCCCCCTGGAGCCGACCAAGATGATGACAATGGTGTCAATTACATCAACCGAGGGGGGAATGTGCTGGCAGTGGTGCAGGGGAAGGTGGTGGCTGAGGCCGATGGCGGCGGCCGCGAGAGGCGCAAGCGCAAGAAAGCCGTCAAGGACGACGACAGCTTCCCCTCCCCCAGGCGCAGCAGGGCTGCCAGCAAGGCCAAGGCCAAGGTCAAGCAGCAGCAGCAGCAGCAGCGGAGGCCGCGGCAGGAGCAGAACCGTGACCATGACGACGATCGCGACGAGGACGAGGATGACGACGAGTCAGAGGAGGACATTCCTCTGTGGCGGCGCCTCGTGGATGGTCAGGGGTCGGATGAGAAGGAGGAGGACGACCGGTCGAGCGGCTCAGGCTTGCCCGACAGGAGCGAGGCCGCAACGAGCGAGGCGGGCGAGACAAAGGAGGAGTACCTGACACACTGCGAGAAGTGGAGAGTGGTGGCGCAGAAGCTGCTCGGCAAGCTGCAGGGGGGAAATGGGGCGTTCGGACGCCGATTCATCTACTGGTGCGTGGGTGTGTCACACACACATCACAGTACAGCACACGGCGCACAAAGCGTCCATCGTCCGTCCGCTCTCATTGTCTTATATCATCATTTGTGTCACTTTCAGGGACTACGGTGCTCGTCACGTCGATCTCTCCGAGCACACGGGCTCCAGTGTGTACGGCGCCTTCCATGTCGACTTCACCTACGCCCTCCGCAAGCGGAACATGCCAGACGCCCCGGCCCAGCCCCCCTCTCCCTCATTCGTCCCAGAGCGATGGACACGCCAGGCCATGCAGAAGGCTCTCGATGAAGCCGTCAAGGCCCGCGACCTGCACGCCAGTCTCCTGCAGCTCGACGGCAACACCACAAGTGAGGCCGACGAGCTGCCCGCGGCCGCCAACAACCACGCCGAGGGGAGCAATGATGGTGACGACGATGAGGCGGACGATGAGGAGCAGAGCGGGCAGGACTTCCTGAAGGCCGTTGCGGTGTGGAAGGCGCGCGCTACCGAGCTGATGGACAGGCTGGAGGACTCGGACCCGAACCAGCCCCTTGGCCGCATGTACATCACCTGGAGGCCCACAGGCCTCGCCCGAGAAGGTCTGAAGGTCCCGCTACGGCGGCCATACGGTGCCTGGAGAGTCGATCGCAGCAAGTCTGACACGTTTCCCGTCCGCTATACCTCCCCCTCGTACGTCCCTGACGAGTGGACCATGGCTGGGCTGCGCAGGGCACTGAAGGCCGCTCTCGACGATCGAGCCAAGATGGTGGAGAGGGGTGCATCGTTCGCCAGGGCGTATCGCAGCAAGCGGGACAACGAGGAGGCTCAGGCTGAGCTGGAGCGGAAGAAGAAGGCAAAAGAGCGAGAGGGCGGTCAGCGGGGCGGGCGTAGCCCTCCGGATGATAGGGCGGCGGCGGCGTCCTTTGATCCGAAGGAGGCGAAGGAGACTACGAAGGAGACCAAGGGTAGAGGGGGAGGGAGGGGGGACAGCAAGCTGCAGCCCATGGCCAAGCTGCAGCCCATGGCCAACAAGCTGCTGGCCGACCTTACACGCACCTATGGAGCGGACAGAAGACAGAATGTCTACTTCGACGGCCTCAAGAAGAAGGTAGATCAGATCGGTCAATGAAGCTCCACTCCAATTCACACGACACTCACGAGCAAAGCATGTCGGTCTGTGTCTGTGTCTGTCTGGATGTCTCATGCAGTATCGTGTTGACGTGTGGCGTCACTCCTACCGATCGGCTCCCATCGGCCCCGAGGAGCGCACCTACACTGGCCTCCGTGCAGCCCTGGCGCAGGCACTCGAGATCCGTGCCCACGCGACCAACCGCTACTCGCCCGAGCGAGAGGACCCCACGGCAGCAGAGGATGAGAACAGGAAGCGGTCCAAGAACAACATGCGCGTCGCCGACTTCCGCGCCATCCTCTCCCTCTGGCGGCGCGTGGCCGACGTGCTCCTCGACCGACTCGACAACTCCGCCTACATCTCCTGGCAGTCTCCCCCCGATAACGATACTGGGTTTGGTGACTACGGCCACTTCCAGGTGAGGATCGCCACCACCGAGCGTGAGCGTGAGCGCGAGCCCCTGTCGGCTTCCTTCCACCCGGCGAATTGGACAATGACCGGACTTTCGGAGGCTCTGGGGCAGGCTGTCCAGTGGCGCGGCCAGATGCTGAACTACAGGCGCCTTCAGCTGCCCCCGCCCCCGCCTCCAAGAGCACCAGCCGAAGAGGAGCCACCCGATGACGACGACTACCAGGAGATGGACGAGGAGGATACAGGCATGGATGAGGCTGCCCACCATCGCGCTGTCGATCGGGATCGGAAGGGACAGAAGAAGGAGCGGCAGCACCGCCATCGCCAGCGCCAGCGCGACACTGTGATTCTCGATGAGGCGGCCGTGTCTGTTGGGCAGCCGTCTGCTGCTGCTGCAGCAGCAGCAGCGGCCGTCAAGCAGTCTTCCGTCGATCGCGAGGAGAGACTCAAACGACGTCAGCTGCAGCAGCAGCAGATCACGTCTTGGACGGCTAGGGAAGGTCGGACCTTGCTGCCTGCGGAGATACGACGGCTGGGGCGCGAAGGACGCGATGAGGCGCAGGAGCAAGATGAGCCCCAGCAGCAGGAGGCAGAGGAAGGTGAGGATGAGAGGGAGAAGAAGCGGCGCAAAAAGAGCGACGACGACCCGGCCCTGGCAGCCCCAGCTGGTGCTGATGCTGCTGCTGCTGCCGCCGCCGCAGCTGCTGTGGAGGTGTGCGTCAAGGAGGAGCCGAGGGAGGACAATGCCGAGATGGCTGTGGGGGAGGCAGCGGCAGCGGGGTTGGATCTGGGCGACAGAGGCGAAACGAATGATGACGATGCCGAGATGGCGACTGAGCAGGAGAAGGAGGACACCGCAGGTGCAGCAGTGGCAGCTACTGAGGGGCAGGAAGCCCCCCAGGACACAGACATGATGGGCGACGATGGCAACAACAAAGACGACGAGGTCAGTCAGAGGACACAGACACAACTCATGCATGCGCCGACGATGTCCGCCATCCCATCTCGCTCCCCCTCTCTGTCTGTGTCCGTGTGGCTGACGTCAGCTGCTCCCTCCCCCTGACATCCCTCCCCCCATGAGCCAACACCACGACCACCAACAGGAGCAGCTGCAGCCGCCACAGGAGGAGATGGTGCATCCCGACCCACAACAACATCATCACTCTGACATGATGGACATGCAAGCCGTCGGAGAGGGGCGGGGCGACCAAGCACCTGAGCAGCACGAAGACGATGGCGCGACGGATACGGCACGTGTGGCAGCCGATGGTACCGGTGGTGGAGGCAATGGTGCGGTGGGGGTGCGTGTGGAGGTTAAGCAGGAGCCACCCGATCAGCCGTGATGAGAGTCATTGGACGAGTGACGGCCGTTCGTACTTGTTATTTCTTAGCCGAGATATGTGAGAGGGCGGGTTTGGTGCTTAGACAGACGCCTCCCTTGGTTGTGGCTTGGCTTGGCTTGGCGGAGCCTCTTGAGCCACACATCGCTGGCTGTCTTTGACGCGGCAGCCGTAGCTGCACGTGTGAATGAGAGGATCCGTGAGTGACAGACACTTTGCGTGCGATCGATGCATTGCATTCGTGTCACGTGAGTGATATGTATGTGTCAATTGAAGTATGTATGACCATGTGTGTGAATTATCCCCAGTCTGTCTGCAGCCCGGCCGATAAAACGCCCCCTGCATGCTACGCTACGCACAAGCCATCGATAGTCTACACGAAGCGGGCACTGCAACCGCTTGCTTGAAACCAAAGCCGCCCTTCCTCACTGTTGGCAACAGACAAATCTCTCGCCCGACTCTCTCTGTACACGTAAAGCAGTCAGCCAGTGCATTAATGCGCCGCCTCATCCCACTCCCCCTCCCCCTCCCGCCATCTATCGACATGCAGGGATGAGCCATTTCCATCTGTCTGTCTGTCTAAGCCTCACTGCTTTCGGCGCTCTCGTCTTCCTTGACCTCCTTGCCGAGGAATCGGGCCACGACGGGCGTCAGGGCGACGGTGGGAGGGAACCGAATGGGCGACTCGGCCTTGTGCAGCGCGTACGCTATGGCAAACGTGCCCTGATGAAACGAACACCCACAAGCCAGCCATTTACTCTGCTCTGTGTTTGTCCCGTGCTGCCTCCTCTTCTTGAGCCACTCACTCACCGCCTTGTCGCCGAGTGCCCCGACTTGAATGCCGATCTTCGCCAGCAGTGCCGGCACGTCCACCCCGATGTCGACCAGGTAGTAGTTGACCACCAGGCTCACCAAGGTCAGGCTGATGGACGTAATCAGATACGCGCTCCCATACTTCTTGAGCAACTCGCCCGCCGACGCCCGCCGGCTGCCCGGCTCGCCCTTCTTGTCGCGGAATGTTCGCCAGAGGCCGTACTCGAGGCCGTACTTCTTGGTTGCCTCGTCAGGAGAGATCTTCGCCTCCTCCTTTTTCTCTGCCTGGTCCTGGTTGACCGCCATATGGAACAGGCGGCCTCTCGATGGCTGCAGGTCCCATCGTCTGCTGCTTGCATCAGTCACAGCTACCTTCTCGGATGGCGGCAGCTGGCGTCGGCTCAAGAGCCGCGGTGGCGACACGTAGGCATGGATGGCTGACGGCAGGACAAGGCCCAGAATGAAGAGGAAGGCTGACAGCAACGATGCAGGCTGCATTGGAAGACTACGAGCTTGAGCTGAAGTCAGACAAAGGCGTTAGGGTTTCGCGGCCTGGAAGATCATTGTAACTCATCCATTCACTCATCTGCAGTGCAGTGCAGCACTGTTCATAACTCCTCACCCTTTCCTTGACGCATCGCTTCAGTGATTGTAATCGTCATTTGCTGAGATGCGATTGGATGCGTGGGCGCATTGGCGCGTCTAATCTACCTCAGGGCCCCTCTGCCGCACGCCAGCAAGTGAGGCAATGGCAATGGCACGCAGCAGTGACGTGTGCACAGACACACACACACACACACACACACACACGCAGAGAGAGAGAGAGAGACAGACAGACAGTCATGGGATGAATATCGACAGCAAAAAAACAGCCAGCTCCCTCGTACTACTTATCCAAAGCGCACCCACCCACCACACCCATCCCACCCATCCCACCCACCCCACCCACAAGCCATCAGTTATCTATCTTATCGTGCCTCTTCCTCTGTCTGCCCCATCCAATCTAATCCTTCCTGTTGGCCTTCTTGGGTCTGGCCTTGGCCTTGCTGCGCCCCTTGCGTGTGCTGTCCTTGAGTTCTAGCTCCAGCATCAGTGTGGATGTGTTCACCCCGTCCGCATTCACCTTATGGTCACTCCCCAAAACCTCATAGGTGCCCCCCACCCGAGCCACACACTCGACACAAAACGCAGCGAAGGCGGGCTCAGGCGTGCTCTGGCCCTCTTCGTCCAGGTCGACGTCCCCCACGAGGTCGTCTGTCGACAGATCAATCGTCAGCGACACTCGTGTGGGGCGAATCGAGAGGATGAGAGAGAGCAGATTGCGCACGTGGTCTTTCTTGAGCCGTGCCCCCCCCACATCGACACTGAGGCTCTTGACTTGAGGGTACGACAGACCAGCCTCGCACTCGTGTGCGGCGTCGGCTAGCATGTCTGCGACCATGTTGTCTATCTTGACCTCTAGCTTGTCAAGGGAATGGTGCAGGCCAGAGAAGTACGATATGCACTGGCTCAGGTCGCTCAGAGCCGAGACGAAAAAGCTCGCCTCTCTCACACGCTTCAAACTACCCATCAGCCCCTCCAGCTCGCGGGTAGCTGCACCCGACGGCAGGCCCTCATGTCCGTTGCTATGGCTACGCACCACTTGAGCGTGAACATGCTCGATCGACGGCAGACAACGGCTGTTGCCTTCCTCGGGGGCCTCGGTGGTTTCGAGGAGGAACTCAGGGATGCTGTTGACCATCTTGCTCGCAGGTGCTGGCTGGTAGAGGTCCTCCGCCTCGACGGCCAGGTGGGTGGCTTCCGGAAACGACAGCAGCGCTCCCCATGTCCCGTGGAGAGGCGAGCCGCCACACGACAACGCTACCTGACGATGGATGGAATGCACACACAGAGACACGCACAGACACATGTTCCATCCTGCCAGCCACCAGTTGCTCCAGCAGTCAGCCGCGCAGCGCAGCTCGGTGTTTACTGACTGACCTTCTTGCACGTGCTGGTGACCTTTTTCACCGTCTCGGCCGTGACGCCGTGGGGTGCGGGCGGGGCCTCCGGCACCTCTGTGCTGCAGTCGATGACAGTGTCCATGATCCCGTCTTTGACTTTGTCGCGGCCTAGCTCCCTGTTGTCCGTGCGCGGCGACCACTCGATGTTGCACGCCACGCCGGGCGCCCACGTGAGCAGGTCGGGCAGGGTGAAGTGATTGGGGCCGCTGCGGTCCGTCAGTTGTCGGCTGAAGTCGGCGCCGAGGGTGAAGCGGTGGTTGAAGGTCAGGGTCTTGGGCACACCTGACGTGTCATGCATCGCACACAGAACGGGAAGGAGCACCAGATGTGAGTAGGAAGCATAGCTGGGTGGTGGCCATTTGTGTGTGTCTTCTCTCTCTCCCACACCCACCCAGCTCACTCACCTTTCATGTTATCTTTGTTCCAGTTGGTGTCGAGGGCGGCCTTGAGCAGCCCGAGGGAGTCGTACACGGGCGTCTTGAGCACACTGACAGACAGACAGACAGACAGAGGGGGGAGTGGGCGTGGCGTCCGTGCACACACCGACCGCTGCGGATACACACATACACACATACCTTCGGTCGCTACTGGTCTCGTCCTGGTTGTCGCTGAGGTCGCTACTGGTCTCGTCCTGGTTGTCGCTGAGTTGGATGTCCTTTGCGTTCAGGATGGTCAGCCCCTCGATGCTTGTGAGCTTGGGGCACTTGGCTATAGCAGCGGTGAATGCTCGCCAGTCAGCCCCGTCCACCGTGTCGATGTTCCAAGCCTTGATGCTCGTCAGCTGCGGCGACGTGGACACGATGTGTGTGAGGGACGGGAGCAGGGAGCAGGCCTGGAGTTGTGGCGTCGGAAGCAGACTCGGCCTTGGTCGGTCTTGGCGTACACGTGGCCGACACTCAGCTTCTTCAGCGCAGGAAACACCCAACCGCCACTCCTGCAGCTCAGCCAGCCACACCCACACAGGCACACAGACATGGCGGATGTTGGGTGGCCTGTGTGGCGTGGTCTCTCACTTACATGAACTTATCGATCCACTCGTCGTTCGTGACCCGCAGCTCCTCGACGCTGTCGAACACCACCACACCACTCGATGCCGCCGGGAGGGCCTTGTCCCGTCGACGGTATTGCTCCGTGGGTGGACTGTCGATGTGGATGTGCTTGAGTGTCGACTTGGACGCCTCGAGCAAGTCGACGGTGAAGGGGATGAGGCCTCGGGTGGCGTCGATGTTGACCGTCTGCAACTTACCCTGCAGCACAAACGATACACACGACACTAATGGTACAGTTATGTCAGTGCGCTCTTCATCCGGCTCTCCACTCTCTCACCATTCGCTTCTTGAGCTGCGGTATGTATTTGCCCTTGTCTTTGTCTTTGTCTTTGCTCGGCTTGCTCTTCGAGGGACGGGGGGCGTCGAGGTCCGAAGGGTCTTCATCCGACTGCATGAGCAACCAACGCCATACACGATGCAGCCATCCATGACGCACTCTCCCTCCCTCCCTCCCTCCATCCATCAATCCATCCATCCATCCATCCCCCCCTCCATCCCTTTGTCTGTCCGTCCCTCCCTCCCTCCCTGCCTCCTCACCTCCTCATCCGTGTCGCGTGCCGCTGGTTGTTTGATGCTCTTCCAAACACCATGCTCGCCCTCGGTAATGGTGAGGTCGCGGTACATACCGGTAGTCGTGTCGGTGGCCTTGGTGTGCGTGTCCTTGCATATCGCTGAGATGGGCAGCCGCTCGATGGTGGTGAAGAGTGGGCTCAGGTGCGACAGGTGAAGAGCCGCCAGATGACACCAACCAGCCACCTGGCACAAACCGCACACACGCAGCCGAGATTCACCCGGTGTGCGACATGGTGTGCATCTCTTGATGTGGCGGTGCACCGTACCCACCTTGCGGCCGGCGGTATCATTGCCCTCTTCCATGCTGCCACCGTCACGAGGCAAGCGAACGTCCTCTGACCAAACAAAACACCAGGCAAGGATGTGTTTTGTCTTGCAAGGGCGTGGTCCGGTCCCCGCCTGCCCAGCCTAGTGCCCAGCCCACCCGCTTCGTTGCCATGCGATGCGGTGTGGCCTTTTTTCTTGCGATTCTCCGGCGCCGACAGCTGATGGGCCATCCAGATGTGCCATGCAGTCAGCGCACATCTGGTGTCGAGGCTCTCGACACCAGATCTGGTGTCGAGAGCCTCGACACCAGATGCATACCTGAGTTACTGGGCGCCTGCCATGCTTTACTGCTCGCGCCACGGGCCATCAGGGGACACTAACCCAGCCGCGTGAAACCAAATCATTTGCGTTTCAATGGCAGAGGAGCATGCTGCCGCCTTTGGTAGCTTTGTGGCTGGTTTTCCAACGCCAGCACACGCGGCTGAGTCGCCATGGACGTCAACCAGGTGAGTGCGTCACACGGGAGGGCTCTCTCTCTCGAGGGCCGACACGTAGGGCGACACACGAGACAATTCAGACAGATGATGGATGTTGTGACGGAAAGGCAAAGCACCACTGAATGGCTGGGGTGGCATCTCTTTGTGCTTCACTGCAGATGTCGTTGGTTGATGGGGTCGGGTCGCTGTGACGGCCGCCGACTGACTGACTGACCAGGTGAGGTGCGCCAGCAACACCGGAAGGAGGAGGGATTGCAAGTGGCTGTGTGTGTCTGTGAGCGTATGCAGATAGTGGTGTGACTCATTGTGATGGCCCAACCGTCCTCTGCCGCATAGCAAGCACCTCCTGCGTCTGTGCCACCACACGGCTGCAAGGGACTGGACGACGTCGACATCATCTCTGATGAGGGGGTCAGTCGTGTGACTCGGCAGCTGCTGGAGGGCTGTATCCGGAGAGCCTTCAGCGATGTCGGCCAAGTCACACAGCTGATACGTCAAGGAGCCGACCCGAGAGCCATCGGCAAACTTCGTGTCCGCGGCATCCCGGGAAGGGTCCCGCCCGTGCGACACAGCTGCTTGGCTTTCGCCATCGACAGCCCGACAAACACACCATCCCTCTACGCGAACTGCGCTCATGGCTCTCTGATGTCCGTCGTCCTACCGCAGTGGTCCTCCCGTCAGCTGCAGCGTGGCATCATCAATGCACTCATCGACAGCGGGGCGGACATGGATGCTTGCAGACGGTCGGACATGCCCATCATAGTTCCGATTCGTGCGGGCAATCTGACGGCAGTGGAGACCCTCCTGGCGCGCCAGGCCAACGTGCGGACTTTCCTGGCGATGGATCTTCCCTACCTCGGTGGTGCTGCCCCTTCCGCCACTCGTGAATACGAGGCGGCGCTCATGTCGGTGTACCGCCAACTTGCTTAACACGACAGCGCACTCGCAGCGGAGCGGTTCGGTGCGATGAATCTGGTGCATAAGGCAGCAGAGAGCTCTCTTGGCCTCTTCTCCCAGTCTTTCATCGACGCGTACTTGACCCTCATCACCAGCCACGGCGCCGACATGACGGCAACCAGCGCTGCGGGCTACACGCCACTGCACTGGGCAGCATTGTTTGGCTCCCACTGTGTGGCTCACTGGCTGTGCCGCCAGCTCACGGCCGAAGACGTCAACAGAGGGCAGCCGAACCAGCCCAACAGGACACCACTCGCAGAGGCTGCTTATGGACTTGATGATCTCATCCAACGGGAGCCGCACTCAAGACGGATTCGCAGTTACAAGATCACCATCGGTGTGCTGCTGCGGGCCGGGGCGGTTCCATGCATCGCCCGCATGCCGACAGCCACCCAGAGGCAGCAGCACCGTCATCGCCAACTGGTCCTGGCCGAGTGTACCACAGTGCTGGGTGAGCTGTCCGGGGCTGTCATGTGGGCCATCAACGCCGCCCTCTCTCCCCAACATGACCACTCGATGCTTCTCGCCCGTCTGCTGCCCCTCGCCCCCCACCACGACGGCGCCCACCCCTACCCTTCCCCATCCAACATGGCATTCGCCCCACACATGTCCATCGCATGGAAGATCGGAGCCTTCCTGTACGAGCCTTCCGCTGCTGTGGTCACCATCGACGAGTACCTCATTGGCGAGTCGCCGCTCAGGCGCCGTGTGCGTGCGGCCGTCGGCCACTTCGTCGAGTCGGCGGCCACTCAGACATCCAGCAACAGGGAGGTGGTGGGTGGCATGGCCAGTGTGGGCGGCGTGATGGTGACCGTCCCGCCCCTCCAGTGCTTCGCCGTCAGAGAGGGGGCGAGTGTGCGGCGGGTGGGTCTGCGCGAGGTGGTGCACCGTGCCCGGATGGACGAGGCGGCCCGCCATGGCGTAGAGGAGGGGGCCATCAACAAGGGCTTCAACGAGCACCTGGGCGATCAGGACTGCCAGTTCTCGTGGCAGCAGCTGGGGCGAATTGACAGGCAGACCGGGCTGTTCGTGTCGCTGGGCATCGAATGAGAGGGAGAGGGAGAGGGAGAGGGGCGGGGGAGAGAGCAGTATGGCTGCATGCTACTTCTCTTTGTTGCGATTCAAGGACGGTTCCGATTCCGACTGTGACATAAAGCTGTGTGTTCTGTGATCGATTCATAGCAAATACTGTCTTCCGTTCGCATGGCCTCACGAACATGAATGTAACTCAGGTGGGTGCCGGCCTGGCGGACAAGACAAGCCAGCATCTCCCATTCAGTGGCAGGTGTGTCATGTCATGCTGTGTGTTGTGTTCAGTTGAAGGAACAGACGGCGGGCGTGGAGCGGCGCGTGGACCAGCTGCTGCAGCTCCACTCGGAGGTATATATGTGATATATGACTAACGCACCCGACACGACATACACAGCCAATTAATGGCAAAATATGGGGCGCCCATTGAACGGTGTCTGAGTCTAGAGTTCGTTTCTGCAATTTGCTGGTGGGCTGTGGGTGGGCGCATCAGGTCAGTCAGTGCTATCGTCTCCGAGATCAAGCACCTCTCGAGGTACACATCCACACCCCGAAGCAGATAGCTCCGGTCGTGCTGGTTGAATGAATGACAGGGCTACAAGACGACCGAAGTGGAGTTGTGGCACAAGGACGACTTGGCTCAGCAGGCACTTCTCGACCTCAGTGGAGTTTTGTCTCCCGCCAGAATGCCGCCACATAGGTAGGAAACACACCTCAGACACACGGAAGCCCACGACCTATCTTGAGTGCCTGTCTGTTCGGCTGTGTATGTATGGCCTGTCTGTCTGTCAGATCATTTGTCGGCGGCACGCGGCCCTGACTGACGGTGTGTACTATGTAGAGTGGTGGTGGCAAGACGGATAGATGAGCGAGTGGCTGGCTGGCTGGCTGGCTGGCCTCACAGCACGACCACCCACGGAAGGACGACCTGTGGTGGATGGATGGATGGATGGCTTGAATGCTGCTGTCGTGCGCACAACCAACCACTGATGCATTCGTGTGTATACTCACTCGGTGGTGTATACTCAATTGGCTGACGGCGTGTGGTTCTACCAGATGGTGCGAGTGACCGACCATGTCGTTAGCTCAGGGGAAGGATCTGAAATTTGGTTCACCCACATCGATCATATGTCATGACGGCGGTTGACGTCCCATGCCATGCAGCACATACATGCACATCGCACATCCACGCACACGCCGTAGATGCCTGTAAGTCGCCACAAGTCTTCCTTCTGTCAGGTAGATGCCGGAACCAGAGAGAGACAAATAGCATCGTTCACCCCCCATGTCAGTCATCGCACCGCAGCAGTCCCTTGTCGTCTCATATCTCATCACGCCCAAATGACAGACAGACTCACATGACAGACACCCATCCATCGGCCACGATTGCGGGCAGACACCTATTCCATCCATCCATCGATCCATCCACCGACACAGCCCGGCAGCCAGCCACTTGGGGAGCCAGCAGAGAGCAGAGAGACAGAGAGAGGTATGAAAAGTAAGAACCGATCCATCCAGCCAGCCAGCCAGCCATCCGTCAATCGGACTGTCTGTCGGTTGGTATGCCTCTCTGCTTCGCAGACCGATAGATACCCATCTCATCTGTGCTCAGGCCAGCCAGCCTGTGTGTGCCGGTCAACGCTGAGGCGCAGCGAAATGCGTCCGTCCATCCATCCAATCATCGTCCAGTCGTCACACACACGCACATTTACAGCCGGCGAGCCAGCCATATAAACAGGCGGGGGGACAGACAGGCACATGGATCATCCCATCCCGCACACGCACCTCTGCTGCCTTACTTACTAGGTGGGTGTCGGTGGGTGAGAGAGGCAAATCATGATCTGGTCGGTGGGAAAAAAGGAGGACAGGTCAGCACACTGTAGGCATGGTAGGCCCTCCTTCCTCCAGTCATTATGCCAGTCATTATGCCACTCATTATGGATTAAAGAGCACAAGAAATGCAGTTAGTCAGTCAGTCAGTCAAGAAGCAGTATTAGTTACTGTACAGTTTCGCACACCACACCTGTGCTGTGGACAGACCATCTGTCCTTGCTGTCCGTCTGGAGCTCTGTCTGTCTCTTTGCGCGGGCGGCTCGGCTCGCTTGCAATGCATACGTAATGCAGAGCCATTAATTATCCATTGCATGTTTATTCACACACGCACTGCACTTCAGCCAATGTCTGTCTGTTGTGTGCATCCACGCCCACAACCGCACACACCGTCAGCAGCGGTCAGATGCTAACTAACGGTGTCGGCGGGCCAGGTGCGCGTGCGTGAGTAAACAACAGGCAGACGTCAGCTGAAAGAGCACACAGACACGGAGCTCATCACAGCTTCAAATGAAAGCAGAATTGACTGCGAGAACGTCGCGCGTGTCCTCTCATCTGCGTGTTCGTCTGTCGACCCGCCCACCCCACCTCCCAAATGGTCGTGGACCTGGCTGGCTGCGTCACCATCCACGTCCGCGGTGACCCGTGGTGGCTTACGAGCCATCAGCCCAGCCCCGGTGCAGTGCAACCCAGCCCCTGACTATGTCCACCCACCATGATATGATCAATGCAATGCATGCAGACATACAAACGGCCACGCTGTCTGTCTGAAGATGTCTGGACAGCCGGCCACACAAGCACCAGCACCCAGTCAGTCCCTCACCCAGTCAGTCAGTCACATGCAAGTGGGTGAGTAGGAAAGCAGTCGTGTCGTGGCCACCGGGTCATTGGGTCATTCATCCATCAAGCGTATAGCTCCCCAGAAAGCCCGGTTCGTGCACGAGAGGGGGCGGGTCGGGCCACTCACAGTCAAAGCTAGAGTGACTGCTGCTGCCCGAAGGACTTAGCACCACACCCTCACCACCAACTCCTGACAGACAGCAGCCATTGGCATCGCATGCCATGCACAGACATATCACCGACTCGCCAGCTGCACCTCTAGGTGTGCTGTGCTCATCCGTACTTACGGTGCTGTTGCTCATCGCGGTGCGCGACGCACTTGTCGTCGGACTTGCTCCGCCACAGCTGCGAAAGCGGCGAAACCTCCCGGCTGCTGGCAGGGTCAGCCGTCACACCATCAGTCCCTGCAGAGGCATGCGACATGGTGGCCCTCAGCCGAGAAGTGTAGGGCGAGAACCGACTGCCCTTGCCCCGAGGCCGCATTGGTGACGAGAGGGGTGACGAGCCCGACGATGAGTAGCACGACGACACGTGGCGCGGGGCGGGGGGGCTGCGGGGGCGGGGTGCTTCACAGGACGAGAGATACTGATTCTCGGCGCAGAGGGCGCCGTATGCATCGCTGCAGAAAGACGGAGAAGAGGAAACATGTGCATGCAGAGGACGAGCAGCGACGTGGGCTCAGACGGGCCTGACCTGATGGCAGCGCAGAGGTCGTTGGTAAGTTGGGAGGCGGCCGTGCGCATCTCATGGATCGTCTCGACCAGCGACGACACCGATGTCATTATGCAGACGCCAACCTGATGATAGTGTGACAGACAAACACGAACGAACAGTGAGAGGCTCCATGAGCCGTATACATTTTGTTATGTATTGTGTTTCTCCGGCCGGCCGACTGTGGCGGACCTGACCTGCACTGAGCCACCCTTGTCAGCCTCAGCCAGCTCCCCTGCCAGCCGATCAATCTCAGCACCCAAATCACGGCAGAGGTCACTCAGCTGATTGCAATGACACACATCACGTCAGTCACAACACTTCACACCCATCCACAGACAGCTTCGGTTCTCCCACCTGCTGCAGACGCCCAGCGCCCGTCCCCTTGATGCTCGAGGGACTCGACGTATACCGACTGGACAGACACCACGGTCGTCACAGGGGCGATGAATGCGCATGCATGGCAACTGAGATCTCCTCACCTGCAGAGTGCCTCCCGGCCTGTCCCCAAGCTCCTCACGCAGTCGGCCAACTGGTCCACGTACCGATGGGCATCCTGCAAATGAGGAATACAGGCACACCAATGCATCACATGCAGCAGGAAATGAGTGCATGAGCTCGAACTGCTGACCTCCAGGTAGTCAAACGCGAGAAGAGCCTCGTGTTCTTCGAGGGCGAGACTGAGATCCTCGCACAGATCGGAGAAGTTATGGCAGACTCCCTCGATGGACGCAACAAGGGAGTTGGCCTGCCGGTGCGCATCCCGCAGCTCCAGCGACTCGAGTGAGCACGACAGACCTCGCTTCATCGCGCCTCCTACTTTTCCACAGCTCGCAGTCTGTCAACGGCAAAACTAACGGCCAGGGGAAAATGGCGAAGGAAATCGCCTTGACTGAGCTTGAGGAGGCTTTGGAAGAGGCCGGCAAAGAAGGGAAGACCCCTCTCTTCCTCGACACTTCAGGTAGGTACCGTCGAAAACACACACAACCCCACGAATGCGACGGGACAAAGAGATGCGTCATGTTCTCTCTTGTCTTCAGGGAATGTGGACACCTACCTTTCCTACCGCCAAACGACCGTAGTCGAAGCCAAGAAATGCCTCATGGACAAACTCAAGGCACGCAATTAATAAGGGGCCGGGAAGTGTGTTCGTTTGTTGTTTGACCAATGATTGGCCATCGATGATTGTTTGGTGGCGTGCAGGGGACTGCCGTGAGTGACATCCGGGAGGGTCTGCGGTCTCAACTGGTCAACGCAATGCGATATAGCCACAACCTGTTGATCAGAATGGTACACAGAAGGAGGAGAGGAGACACGCAGTGACTGCGAGAGGTGGCAGACACACACGTGTCGATTGGTTGCTGTATGCGCTGGCCACACCAACGTTGACAGACCAACTCAGCAGTGGACTTTCTGGGCACCTTCTGCGAGGAAACCACGTTTCCTGTGGATGTCTTCGACCCAAATGCGATTCTGGTACCTGTTTGTATGTGTTGAGACATGGCTACAGTATCTGTCTTGCACAGCTTCTGCATTGATTGCCCATGCGTTCACCTTGTACAGAGCAATGAAGTGGTGGAGCGAGTGATCCGCGATTCGGACAAGAAGGCGGAGGATGGGCGTGTGTTTGTGCCCCGCGGCCTGACGGTGGTCATCACGTCCACATTTGAGAAGGAAGACTACGCTGAGTTCCTCAAGGACGCCATCCCCCTCGACAAGTGCATGGTGAGGACGTACGAGCAGGTGTGGTGGCTGGTGCGATGTGAATGTCCGACATGACATGACATGTTGTGCAGGTCTTCTACGTCAAAAAGTCGGCGTGAGGCTGCCACGTCTCTATGGCCTGGTGTCATCACATGTATGTCTGAATAGAGAAACATTGTGTCAGTCGATTCAGAGTCGAATTCACGTCGTTCATATGACACTCACACCATGAACGTTGGTAATTGTGTCGGTCGAAAATTGTTATCATCGGACAAGCATGATCCCAATGTTTGAGGGATTCGATGGATTCGTCATTGGTCTGCTGACTCCACTCGTTCGCTGACAAACATGCGGCAAGGTGAGCAAGGAAGCGAAGGCAATCAACGTCAGAGTGTGTGTGTCTTCTTCTACACGCTTGTAGGATCAAATCGGTGTCGTCCTTGGCGTCACTCGAATGGAGGCAAACGGTGACTGCAAGCTAGGAGACACACATAGATAGTTGTTTTTTTCTTTTTTTCTTGAGGCGCGGCGGAGCCTTTGCACACTTCTCGGCCTTACGCTTGCGGGACGTTTGCTTCTTCTCGGTGCCGGAAGAGAGGGGAGAGATCAGGTCGAGCAGTGCATCATCTGCTACAACAGGCCGAGAGACACCCAGACTCTCCCTGCGTGAGTTGTGCCACAAACTAACAAACGTGTAACAGACGAAGCAACACCGCCTTCGTGATGTCCTGTGTGTGCAGGGCCACTTTTGGCTCTGCAGCCCGTGCTACCTGCGGCTGCTGGACCGCGCAACGAGGACCCAGCAGCCGCCTCAATGCCCCTTCTGCCGCGACCCCATTTTGAAACCCACTACCGGGTGGCTGGCTACGATGGGGGGTCGGAGCGGGAGGGATGTCGCGTCCCTCCACTGTGTTTTGAAGCTGCCTGCGGATGGGTGGGTGGGTGGGTGGGTGGCTTGCCTACCTGTAGTTTGTGTGCTGTGTCGTGTTGTCTGTGCTGACTGCATTTGTCGGTGATTTTGTGTGTACTTGGGGGGTGTATTGTGCTGACGTATTGTGTGTGCCTGCGCTTTCTGCCCTGGCCGGGAAAGCCGGTATCGACTGCCCATGTGCTCAATTAATTGCGTGTGCTTGCTGTCGTGTTTGGTGGTGTGTCGTGCTTTCATGTACGTGCATCCCTCCCTCTTCTGGTGGGTTGCTTGGTGCATTTGTCGGTGTGTGAAGTGTGCCATCATTTGTCTACATAGGGAATTCGACAAAGGACGATTGACCAAGTCAATTGTCTGTCAGCTCGCAAACGCGAGTCCGTTTACATCTTGTGAGGGGCTTGGCACTCATCGCAGAATGAGGCGAACGCACGGTTCTCGAGGGAGGGGAGTGGTCGCTGGGAAGGGATTTGTGCCTCCGAGGGGCAAACACGGCCACGGAACCCATAACGATGGCGGGCCGCCACCATCATCCTCCACCGAGGGGACAGATCACAGCCGCAATGCCATCCACACGCCTCTCCACCAGCCCAGGGACCAGCGCACCGCCCATGACGACTGTAAGATGCTCAGATGCCCACCATCACACAGCCTTCATTCATCCATTGATCGCATCCTTCCTTTGTTGTTGGTCAGTTTGGAAGAGAATCCGGACCAAACCTCCGACGAACCGGACGGGCCATACGACGCTGCGGAGCACCCTGCAGGAAATGCGCACGAACAACAAGAGCTCCGCGGCGGCCTCACGGCAGGCCCCCGAGTCGCCCGAGGTCGAGGTGAAGCGGCTCACCGTCCCTGCGGCCCGTGTGGAGAGCAAGTACGAGCCACAGACGCTGATGGAGCAGGTGAACACATGGAAGGAAGGATGGGTGTCAGGCATCACATATTCATGCATCACTGTGGGTGGTCGGTTTTCCGTGTATGTGTGGCCTGCCACCATCTGTAGGTGAGTTTGCTGGACCAGATCGGCCGGCTCTGCCGAGGGGACAAGCGGTTCGCCCAGCACGTCGAAAAGGCGGCCAGGCGTGCGGCCAACGGGGGATGTGGGGGTGACGAGGCCAAGGGAATCCTGGCGCTGGTGCAGGACAAACAGCGGGGCGACAGAAACGAACTCCTCTTCATCGACGTACGTACGCATCTCACCCATGAGGCGGGCGGCACGGGCAGGCGGATACATACCCCTTCCCCTCTCTCTCTCTCTGTGTGTGTGTGTGGTGTGGTGTGGTGTCAGCTCGACGGCCAGGTGCTGGGGGATAAGCCGGGGGGCGACTTGTCGACATTCCAGTCGTTATCAGCAGATGGGGAGGGCATCGACCGCCCCAAGGAGCCGCCCGGCTCGTCGTCGGCCACCCTCCCCTCCCGCCACCCCGAGACCCCTCCCAGGCGCCCACGCACTCCAGCCACACCCAAGAAACGCCCGCAGAAGATGCGTCACGGCCCGCACATCACGGGATCTCCTGACGGTATAGAGTCCGCCATCGACACCACAACACAAACTCAAAGGGCGGTGGAAACGGGCCTTGTCTTTGATGTGTGCAGGTAGCCGTCTGCGTACGTCGCCGGGTGTGGGCGGCAGTGAGAGTCGCGCGCCTGCACCGTCACTGTTGACCGCTGGAAAAAGCAAGACGGGCGAGCAGGTGCGGTATGAGGTGCGGCGGATGGCCGACGAGATGGGCTGGCACAACTCGTGTGAGGTTGAAGGGGTGGAGGTGGCCTTTGCATCGCTGGTCAAACCCAGGGAGGATGGAGAGACGGAGGGGGAGGAGGCTGCGGCGAAGGTGAGCACACCGCTCATGTGTCCCTGGGTCTGTCTGTCCATCCATCCATCCATGTGTCATGCTCTTGTTTGTGTGTGTGCGTGTGTGTGTGTGTGTGTCAGCGGGGTGTGTCTAACGAGTGTTTGGGGCCGGTAGCCAAGGTTCCCGAGGACCCTGCCGTGCTGCAGCTCAATGGCGAGCGATACTTCCTCCCCATCACACACAAACCCACGTACCTGACACACCCACAGACACGCACAAAGACATCATCCATATCCCCTCCCCTCCCCCAGATGTCTTTCGTCTAGTCGTAGTGACGGCCGTGGCCATATGGCGGCTGCCATGAAGGGACCTTCTGCGATCGAGAAAGAGGCCCAGGGGTGGGTAGGAAACGAGCGGCCTACACAGACAGGCGCAGGGATTGATTTCCCCGCTTTCTTGTGTGTGCAGGGTTGGTGCTCATGGCGGTGTGAAGGAGTTGACGTGGGACACTTTGCACGAGCTGCTGTCGCGGGCCAAGAGGGAGAGGGACATACTCCTCAAAGACAGATATGAGCTAGACAGGAGGTACACACACACACACACACACACATGGGTCCAGACACCTAGGAGGGCGCGTGTGTGTGTGAGTGTGTCATGCATCAGGTCTAAGCAGCGCATCCAGCAGTTGGAGGGCGAGGTCGAAATCCTCAGAATGACCGACACCAAGAGGCACGCTTGCACACCCACCACCCCCATAGCGTGTGTCCATTGTCTCGGCCTGTGGTGGCGTATGCCCATGTCAGGTTGGTCGACAACTTGTCCAACTGCAGCCGCACGCCCGAGGAGATGACCACCATTGCCAAACATCTCATGCAGAGAAGAGCCGTCATCCTGCAGGAGGAATTGCCTCTTATCGAACAGGCAGCCCGCCCACCCCACGGCGTGCACCACATCAGGCCCCGGTGTGTGTGGGTGTGTGTGTTCTGTAGATGGCGACCAAGACCATCAGGTTAGCTCAGGCGGCCGAGCGCGCCAATCGGGAGGACAAGTGCGTCGTCTGCTCAGAGGAAGAAAAGGACACCATCCTGCTGCCGTGCGTAAGGCGGGGAATGAACGAATGGGACACCGCACCCCCCCGCCATCCATCCATCCATTCACCCGTCATTGTGTGATGTGTGTGTGTTTCTGGACGGCAGGGCCACAAGTGCGTGTGCTTCGCGTGCGCCGCCAGCGTTGTGCAGCAGCAGGCCACCATCAACCGGGTCTGCCCCGTCTGCAAGATGTACGTAGCCAGGATCGACACGGTCGCGGCGTCATGATGATGATGGAGGAGGATGACGGAGGTGCCTTTCAATTGGCACCGTCCATCCATCCATCCATTCTGTAGCCCCGCTAGAATAGAACCGAATTGGCCCAGCCACACACAAGCATACAAGTGAATGGATTGATTGACATGGACACGGGGGAGGGACACACTCACACACACAGAGGGAGACACTAGATGGGTCCGTTTGGTCTCTCTTATTATGCCGTCGGGCACGACAGACGGACACACACACACGGACACACCAAGACACACACACACGCTCTCTCTCTCTCTCTCACACACACACACACACACACACACATGGACTGTACACACACGCATTGGATTGCATTTGTATGTATACATACGTATGGCTGGCTGCAGTCAGTGGTGCGGTAGTGGGGTGCGTGGCCACCGTGGGTGCGATTCATTCCCGCGTGAGGGTGTGGGTGTCTGCAATGCATCATGTGGGTGACGCGCGAGAGGGGCACAGACACACAACCAATCACCAAACCTTTTTTCTTTCTACCAAATCAAGATGGATGGATGGATGGAAGTAGCGAGGCAAAAAATCCGGAGGGGACACACAGACACAGACACACACACAGACAGACAGACAGACAGAATGGTATGTAGGCATTGCACAATAATGCGCTTCTACACACATTTGCTGCTGGGGCACCGCACCCACCACACACCCACCCACACAGGGGAGAGAGTGTGGTGTTTGTGTCGGTGTCGGTGTCAGCTTGGCAAAGTGACCAAAAATTGACGCCAGCAATCATCATCATCATCATCAATTCGTGACAGATACGGAGAGAGAGGAAGATATGATATCACTTATATAGCGAAAATCGGCCTCATTCATTGTCATCTCGTCGCTAGCTAAACCAAATGCCGCCAGACCCATCCAAAGATTGACACATGCACAGAGAGAGGTGAGCGGTTGAACCGACATGTCTGTCTGTCTGTCTGTCTGTCACACATGACACACGCCCGACCCCATCCACCCCAGCCAAACCAGCAATACACGCAAAGATGTGCATGTGTGGCCTGCCTAATGCTTCGTCATGGTCGTCATCTTTCTGTGTCAGTGTGCTTGCCAATGGTTCGGTCGACAGCAAGTGACAAAGAGAGAGGGCGCCGACCCCGCTCATCCATCCATCCATCTATCCATCGACTCGTCGGTGAGTGATGTGATGAAGGATGGCACATAAAAGACCGCCCGCTTGCAGCACCACACAAGAGACTCAGAGGGAGGGACACGGGCAGGCCACCTGACTGACACGCTAGTTTCGATCAGAAGAGAATTAGCGATCGACCAAGGAAATGAAACAAAACGAGAACAAAACGAACGAAACAAACACCTTCACGCATTGATTGTGTTTTCCCCCCTCCCCAAGCAACCCACCACCCCCGCTGTGACACAGAATTAGATAGGCATCGCCCCCAACATGCAAACACGCACACACAACATTGAAGACACGCCCACACAGTAGGTTTAGATAATACACACAGGCATGCACACATACAAAGAAGGAAGCAGCGAGTCGGCACACGCGCCATCCGCTTTCGGATCCACAACGTGCCCACGCGCCAGTTCTCTCTCATCCCTCCCTGCCGATGACCTCTCGGCCCAACTCAGCCAGCCAAATGACCGATCAAAAACCATTATCCCCGCTGCCCGACAGGACCACCACAAGACACGACAGCACCAGCATTAAACCGCCAACGCTCCCAAAACCTGCTCTCCGCCACCCACTGCTGGTGGTGGTGGCGGTGGTGGTCTCATTCTCTCCCGGCAAAGGAATCCCCTCCCAGCCCTCAGGCAAGTGTGTCGGTGGCCGCTTGTCCGTGTCGGTGCGGTTGCTGTCGTTGTCGGCATCAGCCGGCTCTCCGTCCCAGTGCATGTCGTCGTGAGGAGCGGTGTAGTTGAAGGCCGATGGGTTGGGCTGGAACTGCAGGGGCGACGAGGGCGGCCGGGCGAACTCCTCGGCTAACGCGAAGAAGGCCGGCTTGGGGCGGAACTCCTCATCGAACAACAAAGCGTGCTGCTCCGGACCTCGCCATGAAAACCGGTCCGATGCACCTACAACCAGACACACACAGTGAGTGAAGGTCACACACACTTTCTTGTTCCCTGTGTGTGGGTATGGTATGGGAATATATTGGGTGGTTTCCTTCTCACCCCAAGTGGACATCATCGTGCAGATGTGGCTGTAGTCGAGACAGAGCCTGGTGACCTGCCGGTAGAGGGCGGCCTGCTTGTCGAGCGACGCACGGTTCCATCGCGGGCAGGGGTCGCCGTAGGGCGAACAATTGAACTCCAACTCGGTTATGTGGACTGAACACACGGGAGGAAAGGGGAATGGGCGTCTGTGTGTGGGCGTGTGTTTCTTGGTTGCTGGCTGATTGATGTGATGTGTCATCTTACCTTCGAGCCCCAGTTGTCCTAGTCTTTGGAAGTTGTAGGCGATGCCCTCAAAGGTGCCCGGCTCGTCAAACGCACTCAGGCAGAAATGCATCTGGACGGATACGCACCTTTGCCTTTTGCCGTCTGTCTGTCTGTCTGTCTTTGTGTGTTGGCTGCACTCACTTGTATGCCGACTCCGTCGATGGGCACTCCCCTGCTCTTCATGTCCCGCAGCAAGAGGTACACCGCGTTGCTCTTCTCCCGCATCCAGCCGTACCTTAACGAATGCAGACAGACAGACAAACAGACACACACAAGGGGGGCCATTCCATTATGGATGTGCTGGTATGGTATATTGGCCTGGCCGACGGACATGCTGGCGATGTTATAGTCGTTGTAGATGAGTTTGGCGGTTGGGTTGACCCGCCTCGCCGTCTTGAAGGCCAGCTCCAGGTAGTCGGGGATCAGGGGAAACCACTTGTTACCCCGACGCACCCCGTCAAGACTCGCCGTCACACCTCCTGGAAACTCGTCCGCAACCCCTGCAACACAACGACACACACAGAATCATCCACAACCATCTCTGCCCATCATAGTCTCTCTTTTTTCACGTCGTACCCTCATTGATGACGTCGACGGCGTATGCGTCTGGGTATCTCGCCATGACCTTCTCAATATGCCCGACCGTCCAGGCCCGCAGCTTCCTGGGGCTGAAACTGCCCTTGTCGAGCCAGTCGGGCAAATGGTCCCACCACAGCAGCGTGTGCAGCCGGAAGTACTTGCCGTTCTCCACCGCATAGCGATAGACGGCGTCACACTTGTCCCAGACGTAGTGGTCGGGCCCCTGGGGCGTCAGCTCCTTGATCTTGCACTCGGCCTCGGGCGTCACTGAGGAGAAGTGCCTGACCAACAGCTTCTTGTAATCGGTGTCATTGAGCTTCCCTGAGCTGGCCGCCACTCCCAGCAGCACACCAGAGCTGCGGGAGATGCTCGCGAGCGCAGGAATGAGCTTGTCGGTGAAGCCGTCACTCCTCCACTCGCTGTCGCTTTTCTCGGGTGTTGCCTTTGCGGCCATGGCGTCGGTGACGTGAGCGGCTCTCCTCCTCCACTCGAGCAGGCAGACGGCCAGGAGCACAGCGTCATACAGCTTCATTGGCTGATAGGGTGGCGCGCGCTGCCCACACCGCACCGCAGGCACATCCAAGAGGGCCGTCCGCAGCCCGGCCCGCCTTCCCTCCTCCCGCCTCGGTGCCGCGCCGTCCGCTGACTGACCTGACTCGCCCAACCGGCTGTCGTCGAAAAAGGGCGAAACCAGGCGCAGTTTCCGTGCTGCGGATGTCAGGACTCCCCGCGGGAGGAGGGGAGGGACAGAGAAGGGAAAAACCGCGGCCAAGAGAATTTACATGCCGTTTGGCTGTGGTACACTGTGGAGGGAGCCATTCGTCCGCCCAAAGTCAGGCAGACACCCACCTCTACCACCGCTTCGTCCGCAGACCCGCCGTCAAGGCTCTCCAGCCTGTCGTTCACAGACACCACACATCATGAGACTTCGTCGGACCAGTGCGCTGTCCCTCTTTGTGGCCCTTATCGGAGTGGCGCATTGTGCAGACGACGAGTTTCATCTCCCCTTTGTTGATGCTCTTGGCGATGTGGCAGACCACGCACTCACAATGGCGAAAAACATTCTACCAGGTAGAGCAGAAACATACATGTGCGCGAACGAGGCCACACCTGCAGTGTGGCTGCGCCATGATGCTCAGGTATCGGTGATGACGAGAGCGAGCCATTGGCGGACTCGCTGACCTTCGTGTCGTCCTTTATCGAGTCACTGAGTGAAAAGGCCTCTGCCCTGATGTCCGACGGCGTTCAGCTGGCCGCAGGGGCCATCCTGCTCAACCGAGAGGAGGAGGCTCTGAAGCGCCAGGTGCTGGGCAGCATGGGCGGTGGCCAACGCGCACTGAACGATGCCGTCAGTAGCGTGCGATCGGCGCTGGACGCTAAGAGGTCGGCAATGGTGCTTGGGGATGCGCTGAGAGATGTCAACGACTCGGAGGAGGCGAAAAAGGTCAGATATGGCGCATGAAGCGAAACGACGTGACTGTTCCCATTCTGCAACTTCTGGTCGGTTCATTTGGCATGCAGCTGATGACGACTTTGCTCGAGACCTCATCCGAGCAGGGGGGCCTGACAGATCCTCTAGGAGGATTCCTTGCACCCCTTGCCGGCGCGCTGATGCCCAGCGCCCTTCTGTCGAGCGGCGGCGACCTGACAGAGGACATCCTCGATAAGCTGGGCGTCGACACCCTCGTCACGGCCGACACCGCCAAGTCGATCGAGGAGATCATTCTGGACACTTTCATTGGCGACCATCCCATTCGGACAGTGGTTGACGCGGCCACCGAGCCAAAGCCGATGAACGTCATGCCGTGCGAGCTGGAGCTGGAGGACATACTGGCCCGCTCGCTGGGGGCTGGCGAGTTGGCGGCACGGATCGACTTTGGTGACGCGAAGCAGTGCACTCTTCTCATTATCGAGACGCCTGCGGTAGGCACCTGGCGTGTGTTGTTTCGGGTGTGTGAATGGGATGGTTTGGTTGTCCCTGCCATGCGCACATGGGTGCAGGTGAACGTCACTGACACAGATGACACGGTTGACACCGAGACAACCGACGACACCACGACCGAAAGTGAGCAATGGCAATGGTGGGAGCGAGAAAATGGTGATGATACATACATGGCATGGTGTGTACGTGGTTCCTTCAGAGTTCGTCAAGCTCTTGTCGTCTGATGACATGCGCACCATCACTGCCAACTGGGAGCAGGAGGCAGAAGTCTCCGACATTCTTGAAGACTTCGAGCCGGCCGAAACGGGGTGTCGCGTGCTGCAGTGGGCCGAGAACCTCTCTCCAGTGCCGTTCCCATCAACATGTATGTGTGTGAGCCAAGACGATACAGGAAATAGGAACGGAAGACAGGTCCAGTGAGGCGTCTTGATTCTTTCCTTCGTGGTGCACCTGTGACCGTGTGTGTGGTGTGTGCAGCATGTGGGACCGAGACACAGACGCTGCTCGGCGGAGACTTCTTCGGATGCAACTTCGTCCCATACGAGGCCCCCTCTGACGAAGACGTGAACGAGCCACTCCATAGACACGCCCACACACGCATCGATCGCATTCGCCGTGCCCTCGTATACACATACCTTATATACACACACAGGTGTTTGTGGAGTTCTTCCTTATCCCACAAGGCGCCACGACCGTCCCATTCGGCGATGCGGGGCTGCCCACCGACAACGATCCAGGGGCGGGGGCCGACTTCCTCTGCAACACCATTCTGGAAGAATTCCGCGTGCCAGTCATTGACGCGCTAAAGGAGACGTTCTTCTGCCCTGCTGATGAGGACGAGTGTGTGAAAGTCAATGAGGAGTAGCGGATGCCGGGGGGATTGGGATGGAGGGGGGAGGGAGGGGGGGCAGAAGGGAGGGAGATTAGTTGCCTGTCATCTTGGTGTTTTGTTCTGCTTTGGGTCTCTCTCTCTGTGCGCGCGCGTGTGGGTGAGGGGGTGAGTGTGTGTGTGTGTGTGGTAAGGAAGAAAGTACGTAGCATTAGAGGGCCTTTGGTGTCGGGGTGCACACATTTATGCCATCCATATATATACATCAAGGTAGGCAGGTAGGGGCGGACACACAGGCTGGTGCCCGAAGGTGAAGGTGGTCTGTGCATTTGCGTCAAGGGAGCGGATCGCAGGAAGGAGAAGCTATCCATATCCTGGCGTTTCTCAAGGCCCACCAATTAACTACACGGACGGACGGATGGATGGATGGATGTGCGTGTTTGGACACTCAATGCATTTGCATGATTAACACATATGTACGCAGATCGATAAGGCGAGCGAGTCTCACGGATTGGCGCACACACACTGTCTCACTCACTCACTCAGCGCCTCACCGTAGCGAAGCTCATGATGGACGGCTGCACACCCCCCCCCCCCCCCCCCCCCCCCCCCCCC